TCGGGCCCTGAGAGAGAGCATCCCTAATCGGTTATCGGGATGTTCATCGAGTTCACATCAAATCTCAGCTCAGATCAGCTGCCTGGGCCCCGAGCGCCAAAGAACTGTTATTCATTGCTGTCATTAAATCTTTTAATTGTTCCTTTTTCTTCGTCTGAGTCTTTCCAGATTGAAATGCTTCCATCTGTGATCGCAGCAAACAGATGCTAAATATTTTTGAAAGGCATATATAATTATTCTCCCCCTTCATAATTATGTGCTACTTTGTGTTGTATCATGTAAAATAAAAATGAAATACAAGTGGTGTTGTGATTTTAGTGCAAAAAGCTCAAGTGGAATGATGTTCCAATGTATGAACTTTATAATCTGAATTTTATCATCCGTGGTTGGCATGTATTTGAACATTTGCACATCTATGGTTAATATTTTCATCTAATGTTGATCTTATTTCAATGGTTAGAGACAATGTTTAAATACTGCTGGTCCAATTTTGGCAAATCTGTATTTTCTTCTGACAGGTTTAAAATATGTTAACACTTTTTTAATGTTACTCTCCCATCCGAACATAAAAAAACTTCAGGCACGCTTCCTCTGCAGTTTGCTCTCTTTATTGTCTCGCTGTTCACTTGTAACCTGGTTCTTAAAACCTCTACATTAAAGCTGAAATTTCATCACACTAAAAGATGAATGAATTCATTTAAGACCCGGACTTTTAAAAGGGGTCCGGAGCGTGGTGAGCTCAAACGCTTTCCACAGAGGATGAGTCTAAATTTAACACACTTCTAGGTCACAGTAAACTGGTTTAGCTTTGGAGAAAACGACTACCTGAACACGTTCAGGATGCGGGGGTCTGTCAGGCGTGAAGGTGGATGTAAAATTATGACAAAGTGTAATAAAGATGCAGCATTGATGCAGTATGTTTTTATTTTTTCTTATTTCATTTTCCTTTCCAGCATAATGGTTTCATAAATAGGGGCAAGAAGAAGAACAGTAAATCTACCAACAATCTTTACTACCATCTAGTGGCCACTATTGTGAACTACAACTCTGGGAAGTATTTTTTGTTTTGTTTTTGTTTTATCTATGAGTTTTAACAACAAATAAAATAATATTCTTCTTTTATTTTATTTCATCCTCTCTCTCTCACACACACACACACACACACACACACACACACACACACACACACACACACACACACTTTTAAAACATTTGAGTAAGTTTTCCACCAGTATGGAGTGAATATTTCTTGAAATATATTACGTAACCATGCTATTAGTGATTTTCAGCAATGATAAATGATGGAGCAAAGATAATAAAATTTTAATGTTGCCATTCTTATTGCAAAAGCTTAATTTTAAATAAAATATTAAGAACTGCAGAAGAATTATGGAAGTGATACAGTTCCCATAACAGGTTTGCTCCCGCTGAAGGAACATTATGATGATTTGTAGTTTTAAATTATTTAGCTTCATGTTACATGAACAGATACATTTGTTTTGCAGACAGACACCATATGCAGCAATAACAATCAAACATAATGTGAAGATCAAATTAAAATTAGCACCATAAAGACAAAGAGAATCCTTAAAAATATTGTTGCAATATCCTGTATTGCCCCTCAGTGGGGAAAATGAGAAATAAGACAAAGTGCAAAACTGATCATAGATAAGGATAACCAAAAGTATAAGAACACGGATATCATTTGGCATTTAAGCCTCATTATTTAATACTTTGAATGGGAATAGCTTATCAGCAAATAATTCATTTCCCCTTGATGACCAATAAAGTTGATTCTGGTTCTGATTCTGAATTATCCTTCTCTACAGTTTGTCTTCAGTTTTCAGAAACTCGTTATTTATTATTACCTTGTCTGTTTCAAGTTATTTCAGAGATCATTGTGGGTTTTTCAGTCATTAACATATATTAAAAATGTTGTCCACACTTTAATTAAGAAAATAATTTAGTTAATCCTAATACAACTTACCTAAAACAAAAACGTTTAAACTAATTTAACGTCAAGCAGTAAAAGAAAATAAAGTTTTGTGTCTTCATATGAGGGCTGGGCGATATCGACGTAAAGTTTCATCGCTATATTTTGTGGTAATATTGTGATACGGATAAAAGTGACAGTAAGAACTGATTTTTATTTCTACTTTAGGTAACTGTATGACTGTGTCTGTGTGTCACAGCAATAATAGTCCTACAAAAACAAATACTTCCCTTGAAAAACAGGGACAACAAACTTGTAATGTGCTTTTTCAGGACATCGGTCACATGATGTAGTATGATTTCATTTGTATCAATTAACTGCACATGGTAACTGTATTTTCAAATTTATTGGTATTTTTTTATGCTTTTATTGAACTAACAATGGAGAAAAACTTAAAACTATCAATCCTCTCAATAAGGTCAGTTTTGGGGTGTTTAAAGATCATTAACTGAAATTTATTGTGACAACGATAACAAAAAATTCTTATCATGATAGGAAACTTATCACAATAAATGATAAACGTTAAACCCTACTTTATATGCAATGCATGGCAATATCAGACTTCAAATGGGAAAACAACTCATGTGTATAACTGAGTTACAGGTCTGTGTAGATGGGAGTAAATCCACATTAAGTGCCCTGAATAAAGAATATCCATCCATCCATCCATCCAACCATCCATCCATTTTCTTCCGCTTCATCGGTGGTCGGGTTGTGGGGGCAGCAGCTTCAGAAGGGAGGCCCAGACTTCCCTCTCCCCAGCCACTTCTTCCAGCTCCTCCGGGGGAACCCCAAGGCGTTCCCAGGCCAGCCGAGAGACATCGTCCCTCCAGCGTGTCCCGGGTCTTCCCCAGGGCCTCTTCCCGGGGTAAGTGCCCGGAACACCTCACCAGGGAGGCGTCCAGGAGGCATCCTTACCAGATGCACGAGCCTCAACTGGCTCCTCTCGACGTGGAGGAGCAGCGGCTCTACTCTGAGTTCCTCCTGGATGACTGAGTTTCTCACCCTAAGGGAGAGCCCAGACATCCTGCAGAGGAAATAAAGAAAGAAAGAAAGAAAGAATAACTTGTAGAAATCAAGATTATGTAATATTTAATACTGAGACTCATGATATATGGAAGGGGCTGCACAGTGGTGCAGTTGGTAGCACTGTTGCCTTGCAGCAGGAAGGTTTGATTCCCGGCCCAGGGTCTTTCTGCATGGAGTTTGCATGTTCTCCCTGTGCATGGTGGGTTCTCTCTGGGTACTCCGGCTTCCTCCCACAGTCCAAAAACATGACTGTCAGGTTTTGGTTTCTCTAAATTCTCCATAGGTGTGAGTGTGCATGCTTGTTTGTCCTGTCTGTCTCTGTGTTGCCCTGCAATGGACTGGTGACCCTGCCTCTCGCCTGAAATGTCTTGTTGGAGAAAGGCACCCCTCCCACCCAGTAGGTACAAAGGTGTACAGAGAATGGATGGATATGTGTATGAAAATGATGACTGCAGCTCTCTGCTTGATAAACTATTGATCTAATAATTTATTATCTATTGACACTTACTGCCACCATTTTTGCCTTCAGACATGCCAAAGTACTTCATGGCACAAAATCAGCACACAGATTTTGGTCCATTTTAACAAAATAGCATCACACAAGTGGATAGAAACCAAATACAGCCTTTCTTTACATAGTTGTCATCCTGGGAGCAGAGTGAAGATGTCACTGATGACCTGAGGGGTCTACATGTTCTTGCCTTAGCAAAAATAAATTTAGGCCCCAGACCGTTCAGTACCTTGTAGGCCATACACAAGATTTTAAATGTTATCCGTTGACAATCACATTATGCCGATAGTCGTGAATAGCTATCGGCATATGTGATTTATTTTTCTTTTATTGGCATTTTGGAAGAGATACAGCTGCATGACTATTTTTTTACAGGCAGCACTACATATCAGTGCTCTGTTTTGTTGGAAGACTTTTAATTCTAAAGAGAAATAAAAAAACATCTGAAGTTTGGTATTACTTTTAGTATTTTTATGTGGTTTGTGAAACTTAAATTTGAATCCAAATGAGACTTTCAGTTTTTTCCTGACAGCACTGAAGGAAATCCTCTACCATAAGACATAAGATGTTTTAATTTGTTATTATATTCCTAGGACATAACAAAATTGCAGTGGTACCTTGAGTAATAAACAAACAAGTGAGCAAATAAATAAGTAAATAAATAACAAAAGCATATAAATATCTGCTGCTAAGGTCCGTGAACTTAGTGTCAAAAATACAATTTAAAAAGTGCTTCAATTGGCCTTGGGCGATAATGAGACAAGGCAACATGGAGCTGTGTTTCATCAGCCTAATGTAATGACACCGCCTAGTGGCAACACACAAAGATTAAAAAAGGTGGGAAATTGAGGCATGTGGGACACCATAATACAAATAAATAACAAAGAACTACGAAAAAGACTCTCTCTCTCTCTCTCTCTCTCTCTCTCTCTCTCTCTCTCTATATATATATATATATATATATATATATATATATATATATATATATATATATATATATATATACATTGAAGATTTGATCTGATCCATAATATACATAATAATGTATTTAATAATTAGAATTTAAAATCTTCTATAGTGTGGTAACTGGATCTAAAACCAGACAAGCATTTAGTTTTATATAAGTTTAATTGATATAATACAAGCCTCTGTAAAATTTAGCTCAAAAAAAGATAGAAATCGGCTTTCTATATATACATACGTCTATAATATTTGTAATATAAATATTATATATATTATATAGATATGTAATATTTGCCCACACAATGCCGCATTGGCTGACATGATGCTGAACTTAGATACGACAGCAACTGTCTCATGGAAACAGTTGCCACGGAGACTGGCGAACGTCATCCTGTAACGGTTGCCATGGACCTCCTGACGTCAAAGCCCCTCGCAAGATGGTTAGGAAACCCCCTGGCGCCGTTGCCATAGATACTGGCGGGGGGAGGGGTGGGGTTTAGAGGAAGCGGAAGTGTCAGAGCAGGCGGAAGTGGTACTGCCCTGAATATCCCGAGCAGCAAGCGGAGGACGGCTTGAGATACTCCCATCGTTAAGAGAATAAAATCAGGATCTCTAATACGCTCAAACTGTGAGTTTACTAATATATTAATCGAGCAATATGTAATATGAAGGCTAAGCTAAGTTTTCACAGGGGAACGGCAGTCGGACCGGTGGTCCCGCGGGCTGCCTCTGCGGCGGAAGGTGCCTATTGTGGTTTGGGGCTGGGTGCGAGAATTTAGGCCAGAGAATGTAACCAGATAATGAGAAATAACCTACAAAACGTTTGCGACACGGTTACAGGTACTAACGGCGCAGTCGGTATGCTGCTGATGATTTGCCTTCGAAAGCACGGGCTCGGCTCGATGCGAGCCGCAGACCGTGTGGGGAGGGAGAAGTTTCTCTCGAGTCTGGCCATTTTGACAGCTTAGCAGCGGCCGAGCCGTCGCGAGAGAGCAGCCCGAACAATTTTAGCATCCTGTGCTAAGTACGCATCAAGGCGCACTGCCTGTAAGAAGCTCTGTCTTTAAAAAGACTATATAAATGCACATTTTGTCCTCAATCGCTGTAAATTGGTATTATAAGAAACGTAGCTCGGTTGTGAATGGCTGAGCTCCGTCATGGCGCAGTGAAACGAGCTAACACACCCTCCATATTTCCCGGGAGTTTTCGCCTCATACACGACGTTTATTTTTTGCTGAAAATTGAAAATCGCTGCTTAGGAATTCCAAATCGGCTTGATTAGCTTGAAAGAAATGCTATATTTGCCCCCAGATTGGTGAATCGGGCCTTCGTTTGGGTGTCGGCGCTCGGTCAGGTCCCGCTTGCTAGCAGCTAAGCTAATAGGCGCTAATCTATCTCTCCATCTTAAAATTCCGCAGGGGAATGCGACAAGGAGGGCGTAGCTGTTAGCACGCCGAGCCAGTCGGAGGAACCGAACGCTCCCGACTCGGTAGCTGTTTTTCAAGCTTTTAGTGAATCGATGCGTTATGTTGTGTTCGGTCCTGTTCGCGGTTTGAAGATGGTGCCTTTTGGGGTTTTTTTCTTTTTCCTTTTTTTCGGCGTGAGTAAGCCTGTTAACAACCAGGTGGTTGGATAACAGCCCTGCACGTGTAGAGTGAAATACTGGCGTGCTGGATGATCGGAGCTCAGTTCGATCAATTTTATTCGATCCGTGTGTCATTAATGTCATCTATTTAAAACTAAACCGGGACAAGCGACATTACATATATAGAAGTAATCGGAATAATAGCCTTACATGTTTGTGTTTAAGCTATCACCAGGAAGAAGATGCGTGCAACGTATATATCTAATTTATGCCTTTTTTGTTGTATTTTAATGCAGATTTAATACAGTTAAAATAAAAACTTTGAATTGTATAAATATCCTTTAAGTCAAGGGACATGTTTACTGTGTTTGAGAAGGGATTTAATGCATTTTTTCCTTTCTTAATTTTGCTCTATATTTACTTGAACCACTAACATTTCAAGTAAAAACGTACTTAATAAATATCAAATAAAACATAAAACAATTGATTCCTTAATGTATGAAAGTATGTCTTGGTTAGTAGTAGATTTGAGGAAGTGAAAGTACACGCAATATATTTTTAGTAATAGGTGTACATGCTCATTTTGAAACACCAAAAATAACACATCCCTGTGAGTATTTTCATTTATGCTGCATGTAGCTAGCAGAAAAAAGCACAACTCTCTCCACTACATTTCATCTGCTGATGAGCAGAACAAGTTTTTAATTTCTAGTTCTACCACTGCCTGGTGCTTTTGGTACTTTGTAATTTGGAAAATGAATGGAATGTGACTCCATATGATCAGGTGATTGATTTTGGTGTTTCTCTGCTGTGAGTTCAATTACCCTGTAGAGCTAGAGGAAGCATGTATAATTGGTCGCACAATAACTAAGTGAAGAAGTTGTCCAGATTAATTTTATCTTTTCACTTGTGAGATTAACCAGAGCTACCAACAGATTTTAACCATCGGTTTTGATAGGAAAAAAATTTAAAATAAAGCTCTTTAAGTCAATTTAACCAATTTAAACTGTTTAATACATGTCAAACTTGATTTTATATAAAATATATATCATTTAACTCTACTTTTATTTGAGGGTGAAAAGAAATGGAACAAGGGTTTTCTATGTGTCTAACTGTAAAGCTTCACAACTACTGCAACTAAATGAAAAAATCCAAAGATTTTTTTTATTCACATCACCAAATTGCCCTCATGATTAGAGCAGCACCATCTGGCAATAAATAAAACAGGATGTGGTGAAAGTTTAGGGAAATGCAGCAGTGAACCATCTGTAATCTAACTTAACATGAAAAACTGGATCCAGCACATACCTATATGTTGTATAAATGCATTTGATCACTGTTTTATTAAAGCTTTGTTGCTAAAGACTGACCTTCTAAAGAAACGCAGTCTGGATAATATGACACTGGTGATGAAGACATGCAGGTGGGGCGTCTTACACCACTGAACTTTTTTTATACATTGTGGTGTTTGTTCAGCATCACATTACAAATGGCTGAGCTGCTGTTGTCCCACTGATGTCTTTATTTTAATTAGCAGCTGTTAAAAGCACAAATCACTTTGTTTGGTTTTGGATTTGGCAGTTTTCAGGAGGAACGTTTATTTTGTGCTAAATGACAACTCAAACATTTTTACAGTATTTTTTGACTAATTACTCTCGTTGCCAAATATCAATTTGACTCGGAAAGCCAATCTGAAGCTATTTTTTAATTACTTTGATTTAAAAGATTAATTCCTGATTTAAGTGCCACCTGGTGGTGTGATGAATTTCTACATGAGCATAAATTAACCAAACACCCATTTTGATCCGGTAATTATTAACATTAGGGTGCCTTACTGCACAGAAGTCCAGTGTCTTAAGGAAATAAAACCCATTTTGAAGTTGCTACACATTCCCTTTGCAGAGAAAATCTTGTGTTTTATCTAGGCTGATGCTTAGCCAGCTGCAGCAGAACATCAGTGTTTGCCTGAAGATATGCAGAGTCAAAGCCGTGGAAACAAAATGACATAATACCTCGTCTAACTAGTTGAGCAAATGCTGACCCGACGGTAAAAGGAATCGTTTGACCACCGGGTTTCTTAAAGAGACTTATATTTGGGTAAAGTGCACAATTTACTCAAACGCTTGTACTTTGTGGCTTTATTAAATCCAGGAAATCAATTTTGTTGCTTTGTTTAAATTTTTTGTGCCTTAACAGCAAAATCTTTGAGTCATTGTTTGCAGTGTGCCAGTGGTTGTAACAGGAACTCCAACAAAGGTGTTTCTGAGGAAATTAGCAGCTGCTTATCTCTGCAGGCTGGATGCATAACTGCTATGTAAAGCATGTCAGGTTTGTTTTTCAGTTAAAACGAATAAAAGGTGACGTATTAAAACACTACTTAAACATTAAACCTATTACCTGCAACAAAACTGCCAGTTTTTCATTTTACTGTAGAGAACATCTTGTTTCCACATGGAGGTCAGAGGTCACTTGAGCCCCAAGAACACTTAAACTCAGCAGTTTTGAATTTATATTTGGAAGAAAGTTGATTAGAGCTAATGGTATGACCTATATTTCTTCTGCTGTCATGGATAAATATTTAGATTCATGACTGAGGGAAACTCCAACATTAAAGTAATTCTTGGAGATGGAGGTATGACGGTCCCAGTGAGTCCTGCTGACGGGTCTGAAGAGCTGAAAGTCTTCAAGGATAAAATAATGATACATTGATTGTTTTGGATTGAGCTTTTAGATCCATTAAGGTTTTTGAAAATGTTTGAGTTTTAAAAATGGTTGTCGATCTGAAGCCCAGTGATCCACCTTCTCGTTCATGCCCTGCTGAGGTCATCTGCCCTGGAGGTTTCCACACCCCTTTGTCCAATTGTTTTATTCAATGAGTTGTTTGCTGCTTTGATATAAATAAATAAATAACGCTCTTCTGTACTCCAAACCCCTAATTTTTTGTGTATATTTTGTCTTTCAGCCTAAAAGATGGATAAGAACGACCTGGTGCAGAAAGCCAAGCTGGCAGAGCAGGCCGAGCGCTACGACGACATGGCGGCTGCCATGAAGGCTGTGACGGAGCAGGGCCAGGAGCTTAGCAACGAGGAGCGCAACCTGCTCTCCGTTGCCTATAAGAACGTGGTATGGCAATTATGGCTCTACAATTGGCTCCTAATCTGGTTTACATCCCACAGTAGAGCTCATAGTTCACTATAACTATAAATTTAGTTGGACGAGCGTCAACTGTGCTTCAAAGCTTTGATTTTTACGATTTCGGTTAAAGAAAAAAAAAAGTCAGTTCTTTCATTGTTCAAAGAACCAGTGGCAGAAACGCAACCAAATCACTTTCACTCCAAGTGAAAGTCTTTTATGAGTCATTGACTTTCTGCACATCAATGCCAACATAGTTATGCTGAAGCCACGCCCATTTTTCTTGTCACTCTTTCACCTTTACACATTTGAGTCAATCTGAATAGCATTGCTTCAGAGTTTGAGACTTGATGTCATCTTTAGTGTGTTCTGTCGCACGCTGACCCCTAAAGGTCAACCAGTTTTATGCCCCAGTCTCTAAAATACACATTTTAAGAAATGGGCTTGTTTTTTAGCTGACCAGGGACAGTAAACTGACTTTTCATTAATCTAGTTTCACATTATTCACCTATCCTCTTCTAACAAACAGATATTTTAACAAGTAGAAATTATTGACAAGAGAAGATTTTATCTTACTCAAACTTTCTTGCACACAATATGCGATATTTTGTGTATCCCTATTTTTATTCAGTTCAGTCTCATAGAATGTAAGATTTTTGATTAAGGGTGCACCTTTAAATAAACCCTGATGTCCTTCATTTTGGGACATCGGTGATTGGGCGATACTTGTTTATGAAGCCGATCTGATCCACTGATCTGATCCACTGATCTGATCCACCTCAGCAAAAGCCTAAAAATCAACAACTGTTTTCTTTTGCTCTGCCATGAGAGGTTTGACTGATGGTCACCCGACTGTGGTCAAATCAGCAACATTTTTGCTATTTTCAGCAACATTTCTGACAAAAGAAAAATCAGTATTGGCCAAAATCAGAATTGGCAGCTCAGGCTTTGTCAGGATTGGTAATCAGTGATGGGCCAGAAAATTGCAATCAATGCATCCCTATTCTTTGTACATTTATTTTAAAATCCATGAGTTCATGACTTTGACATGCTGGAGGTAACATTTTTTCTGATGATGTGTTTAATGCCAGTTGTGTGTGTGCTGGTGCCGATAGGTGGGGGCCCGCCGTTCTTCCTGGCGCGTCATCTCCAGCATCGAGCAGAAGACGGAGGGGAACGAGAAGAAACAGCAGATGGCCCGTGACTACCGCGTGAAGATCGAGGGTGAACTCCAAGAAATCTGCCACGACGTGCTGGTATGAACAGGAACAGGGAGGGGCGGCTGAGGGGTGTGAAGAGAATAAAAAACGGGGTGGGTGGTGATAATGGGTCCAGGGAATGGGACGTGGGACTGGAGTTGTTAAATAGGGCAGAGGTGGTGGAAGAGCGACTCGTCCTCCCTCGGTGCTGGAAGGCAGGTCGGTGTGCGGAGATTCTCACATCTCTGCTTCGTTTTCTGTAGCAACCTAAACGTTTTTAAATAAGACAGGCTAGGAATTTTATAACAGAATTACACAAAGATCTGTTTGAACAGATTGAGTGTCAAACACCTAATGTTGAAACTGGAGATGCACCGATTTTGTATTAATATCTGTATTGGTTCTGATATTTAAAAATAATTCTAGATCGAGTGTCAGTGACGATGTGTCTGATCTATTCAGTCTAATTCTATGCTTTATGGTCTGGGTGACATCATGTTTATTATTTATTTTTTATTATATTTAGAATTCCTAATTAAACTTTCTGAACTATTTGAAAGATGTTTAGTTTATTTTTACATGTTTGACCAACTTTTTGTTTGTCTTATTTATTTTCCATTTGCTGTTTTACTCTTAACTGCATCAGCTAATCAATTTAAAGTTGTTTGTACATGTTTGACCAAGTTTGTGAAGCTGTTGGTGTATTTATGTCAGTTCAGGAGAGTGTTTCTGTATCAGATGATGGTAAACCTCAGATATATGTATCGGTATTGAAAATGAAAAAGTGGAACTCTAGTTGAAACTAGAAAAGATGGAGAACCTGAACCCTGAAGATGAGATGTAGTTTATAATCTGCTACACCTCAAACTGGTTTAATTTGCTTTACTTCACCCTTAAGAGCCTCATAAACAGCTGAAGGGTTTTATGTGGGACTCGGCCTCAGCTTGACCCTCAGAGAACCTCTGCCTGCAGTTTTTAAACACCACAGGTGTGATCAGCTCCACCAGCAGCCGCTTCTTCACATTCTGGCCCCGACGAGTGGAGAGCTGAATCTGCTCAAGGTCAAACGAGACTGAAATATTTCAGCGCATGAGCAGATGGCTAATAATATCTTCAAGGTCAAAGCTTGGTGGAGCCTCAGCGGTGATGATGTGGGGCTGCAGGAATGAAGGGAGGAAAGGATGAGTGGAAGCATGCTGTCCTTAAAGCAGCAGCAGCAGGAGGAAGAGGAGGACCGGCTACTCCAGGACGAAGAAAATAATCGTTTTTGTGACAAATATAGTGTCTGAAGATGGAGCTTAGTGTCCAAAGAGTTGGCCTCAAATTACTATCCCACAAATTTATAGCTTTGTTTTCTGTATCATTTTATTGCAAAATTAATATTTGAGTCTAACTGCCGCAATAAAAGATTTAAAATTCCTGACATCAGCACAATCGATAAATCCAGCCCCTTATAACTTCCGAAAACTTTGTTCAGCAAACTCTGTAAATCTGTACTCTAAACTCTAAATCTGTACTTACCCATGATGATGCTAAAACGCTAGCTAGCTAGTAAGTGTTTATTAGTTAGCTAGTTCTGGGAGCCTCACCCATCTCGAGTTACAGAATGCAATGAAGATTTCTTTTTGACTCAAACTTCTGCCTGACTGAAAAGTACAAGAAAATAACTACAATAGAGCAAGATTTAAGATTCCATTAACAAGTCTAAGATCAACTTACGTTTATTTTTAATGAAAATGTAAGACGTTAAGGATTGGTGGACACTCTGTAGCTCTCAGCTTGGTTGAGGTGAATTTTGGTGCAGTTCAAATATATATGTGAACGCCAAGCGGACTGGAGATCACTTCAAAAGCAGGAAGTAGACTATAGCAAAGGGTATTCTGGGTAAACTAGCCTAGCACTAGCTAGAAAAATAACGTAGTCTTTAAAGAGAAATCCTTCAACCACTAAAATCTGTTGATACTCCATATTTGCTTACATTTCATGAAGAAAGAAGTTATGCTCATTGCCATCTTCAGAGGTTTTGTCGTTTTCTTCAGTGGTTCTCTGTGCAGCGCCACCTCAGGCGAGGAGGGGAACAGGTTTTTTCAAAGGGTTTGGTTGGTTTGACAGCAGCTAAAAATGTAACAAATGTTGCAACTTTGGTTCCAAATTAAACTGAATCTACCAGACTGTCAGGTGAGAAGACACCTTAAAACGGTTTCTTTTTTTACTATGAACTTTACTAAGCAAGATTCCGCATGCAAAAACTATGGAACGTTTAGCTGAGATAAAGATATTTTTGCATTGCAGAAATGTCAGTAAGTGCTAACAGAAGTGGGATAATGACCGAGAAGTTAAAAATCAGAGGAAAAGTGCTGGATGGTGATTGCTTGAGCAGATATCTGCACATTCTTAGGACAGGTTGGTGGAGTCAGCAGATTAAAATGGGCCTAAATGTAATCACTGGAACAAAGCTGGGCTCAGTGAAGAGATGCTCCGGGGTGAAGTTGCAGCTGATCACATGATCTGGATAAAACCCTTCTTTAAACTATTAGATGAGGACAGCAGCAGCAGCCAGCGTGGCGGGGTGTTACCTGTTGGGAGCAGAGGGAACGGCCGGTGATAGGGTTCCAGGTTTGTTCTGATGTACTGACCTCTGACCTGTCCCTGTTTGTTCCAGAACCTGCTCGACAAATTCCTCATTGCCAACGCATCTCAGGCAGAGAGCAAGGTGTTCTACCTCAAAATGAAAGGAGACTACTTCAGATACCTGTCAGAGGTGGCCTCTGGGGACTCGAAGAAGGGTGAGGATCCCAGCTCAGCCTCACTGCTTCAGAGACGAACAGTTCACACCTTCAGTTCCTGCAGTATCCACACGAACTGGAAGAATAAAACCAAAGCAGTTCATCACCTTTTTATCATTCGCGTGTGCATGGTATCATTTGCTCACGACAGTGTTAATTACACAGAATGCATGTGAAGAGTTTCTACAAACCATTATGTGGAAATGACATAATTGGCCAGAGTGGATGTCATTTGATCTCGTGCTTCTTTGTCGTCTATTTCTATCCTTTTCTTTAAGCTTAAGTCGAAGGCGCGACCGCCTCATGCAGGCTGTTGCTAAGAGACAGCTTCATCGTTTGTTGCCAAGGGTTTCAATCATCTAATTGCCATGGCAATGGGTTGACTGAAGTAGCACAGACTAGAATGGGTGGGCGATATGGACTTTAACTTTTATCATGATATTTTAAGGTACTATTGCAATAATGATAAAAGTAACAATAAGAAATAATTACTTGTTTTTAGGTAACAGTGTAGCTCTAGGAAAACATTCCTGTTTGACTTGTGGAAACTGCACATAGTAACTGCATTTAATTTTATTTGCATTATATTTTATTTGCATTTCAATGTTTTGGTATTTATTGAAACTTTTAGTTAACAGTGGAAAAAAAGAGTAAAAATAACATTCCTCACAGTAGTTACAGGTTTCTTTAAACATCAGTAATTGGAGTTTATTGTGACAATAAGTCAAAATTCTTATAAGATATTTATCACAATAAATGATAAACGATGTCAGTGCTCATCCGTAATGACCAACACTTCAGTTATCAAACGGTCGCCAGGCAGAACCAGAATCATTGTACTAAATATTTAGTTTTATTTGATATTAGCTGAAAGTAAAGACATTTTTCAGGTTGAATCTCTTAATGGACAAAAGAATAAAATAATAAATTAGCAGCACTGGTTTCCCTGAAAGAGAATTGTGTTCCCTCCACTCATGAAGTTTGTTGATATGAGCCGTAGGACGGAGGCGGCTGTGCAGGATCACTGTGTGACGCGTGTGTGTGTGTGTGTGTGTGTGTGTTTAAAGAAACGGTGGAGAACTCTCAGAAGGCCTACCAGGACGCCTTTGACATCAGCAAGAAGGACATGCAGCCAACACACCCCATCCGGCTGGGCCTGGCCCTCAACTTCTCCGTCTTCTACTATGAAATCCTCAACTCGCCCGAGCAGGCCTGCTCTCTGGCCAAGCAGGCGAGTTTCAGCACACACACCCACAGGCCGCATGTCTGCCTCTCAGCCGTTAACCCGACCTCCGGAACGGACGCCGAGGCTTTCCAGGACAGTCGGGAAACGGTAACGATGGATTTCTTTTTTCACTGCAGGCTTTCGACGAAGCGATCGCCGAGCTTGACACCTTGAACGAGGATTCATACAAAGACAGCACGCTGATCATGCAGCTACTAAGGGACAACCTTACTGTAAGTATACACCCAACTGTTATCTTAATAATCCCTTTTTTGTTATTAAAGCATTTTATTGAAACATCTGTTGGGATCCTCCATAATTCCTGGACATATTCTCCCTTTATTTCTTGAGCTTCAGTAGATTTGACACATTAAACTTGTTGCGTAACAGAGAGACAAACGAGTTTTACAGGTAAAGCTGCGTTCAGCAGCAGCTGCTCTGATTGGCTGCCTGTCACCAAATGATTTACGCTCTCAGGTTATTTATCCAGCTGTGAAACATCAAACTGTCTGATGGGATTGGTTGAACCTTTTTTGATTTTCGTTCCATTCGTTTCACCTGTAGTAACTCGGCACAGATGTTGGTTTGAGGTTTAAAATCGGATTGAGCTTGTCTGGTTATTGTTCTGTAATTACTGGTTTGATGCTGCAGATAGCTTTATGAATGCTAATTTAAAGGAAGGATAGTCTGACCTGTTTCTCATCGTCTACTTGGCACGTAAACATCTGCAATCTGATCAAGAAACGAGAACTGGAGCCAACATTTAAACGTTTTCCTTCTGTAAGGGAAAACGTCCTGGAGTTTGGAGACGAATGAAGTCAGCGGTTCTGAGTTTCCATGTTGTCATTTCTGTCTGACCCACAGATTCAACACAGACGTTAGGTTTCTGATGGGAAATATTTCATTTTGACAGTTGCATGTCAAATGATTTATTCACTCCTCGATCATTAATGGAAAAATCTTACAGGCAAAAATGTAATCAAACCTTTTTTAATTACTGCTGAGCTCATTTTCACATGTTTTTGTTGACTTTTGTTTGGTTAGAAGGCTTCTGTACCATCACCCTAATCTGCCTCAGATTGAATTCGAGTCCCTTCTGTTCAGTAATACTTCCAGTCAGGAGATGGATGCTAATAAACAGTTTTGACTCATTTTGGGATAAATAGATTCAGATTAGCTTTATTTTATTTAATGTTACAAAAACAAAACAAAGTGAAACGCTGTTTTACAAAGCAATAATTTCCTATAAATAAAAATGAAGAAGTGGAATATGAAGTTTTAATCTCTTGAAATCTGCTTCTGTCTCAGTATCACATTTCTTTAGGTTTGATCCTTCAGTTGGTTTATCACCTGCTGTTTGGCTCATTTACTTACGTCGTTTGTTTTTTCTAGTATAAACTCTTTGTTATCATCTCCTGTGTGACTGAGTTACTGTAAATTCAGAAGGTTTTGACTTACAGATGTTTTGTGTGTTTGCAGCTGTGGACATCAGAAAACCAGGGAGACGAGGGTGAAACCGGCGAAGCAGACAACTAGAGCGCACTTCACTGTTATCCCATCCCCACACTTCTCCTCTTCCTCCTCTCCCTGTATCTCCTCCTCTTCCTCCTCTCTTCGTACACATAAACAGCCCGTTCATTCCCTCGTTCCCGCCTCTCCGAGCCCGGCCGCCTGACTTCCCTTCTGTATAACCAACAGCATGAATAGCACCCGACCTTCACAAATATTACTGAGCGAACGAGGCGAGGTTAAGGACCGCGCCGCCCGTTGCCCCACCCGCCCTCTCTCCATCATGGCACTCCAACCCAGGCCAGCAGGCTCACACCTCTGGCTGGTTTAGTCTTATAGCACGCAGAGAGGGTTTTTATCCCAAACCACCAACTAAATGAACATCTTCCAGAGCCCGCCTTCTCCTGTTTATACCTTCCTTGTTTAATCTTTCTCTTCCATCCCTCCCTCCTAACATCTCAGTACGTTCTCTCCCTCCTCCCCTCCTGTCCTAGTGAGTTAAAGCATTTATATAGTTGTCCATTCCTTCTCTGTTTGGCTTTTCATAGTGTACTGGCAAAGAATGGCTGGTTTTATTCCACTTTAAACAAAACAAAGGTTATTAAACTGTCCGTTTATTTTCAACAAACGCTGTGATGCTTAGTTTTTCCTCTAAATCCTCCCGACCTGGGAATGGAGGGGGTGGGTGGTTGTTTGAACAGCAGGGGAATTCTGCTGGGGGTTTATACAGAAGGGTCCTCCATACAAGGCTGTATTGTGACACTGATAAAAGTTAAACAAATGTTGTTTTTCCTTTTGGTTTGGGTAATCAAACACTCGCTGGTTTCTTTTTCTTTTTTTTTTGCCAACTGGGACCTTTAAAGATTTGATGCCATTTCACACAAAAAAATAGTAAATTGTTCAGCAAAAGTGGAAACATTCCATCTTCATTTTCAGCAAACACGACCCGCTTGCTTCCCCTCCTTTCTCTCGCCTGTCCTTTGGTTTACTTTTCCGGGTGTGTTTTGATTCTGTAACCAATCGATCAGTTCCGTTTTTTGAAAACTGTAAAATTGTAAAACATTTTTAGAACTTAACTGTAAATCTTTGTTGTTGTTTTTTTTTTGTGGAGAACAGAATGGTTTTTGGATGTTCGTTACCACCTGCCTGCAGATAAAACCTTGAAGCCGTTACAGTCAGCTGCTGTTTGATGCTTCGGTGAATTATTTTTTTTTAATCCAGATTTGTTTCTGCCTTCCTTCTCTGCCCTCATTCTGTCCATTCCTGCCTTTACAAGACAAGTTTAGTCAAGTCTCGTGTTGCAGCTCGCGGCAGAACGCTGCAAAAAATGCCTGCCCTTAGCTGTAGCCGCCCAAATCTTCTGCAGCACGAGTTAAAAACGGTACAGTCTGTGGAATGACACCGCTTCCTGGGACCTGGCGTTTCTGTTTCAATCAGACCAACTTAGCAGGGGAGGAACTTAATTCCTCCCCTGCTATTGAAACAAATGTAGCTCTGGTGGAACTAGTTGGAAAAAGTAAAGTTGGTTTTTGGTGCAGGTAGAAGCCTCGGCAGGTATGTACATTTTAGGAGCCAAATCACAGCCGATCAGCCAATCGAGGAAATGAGAACCTGTAGTTTGGATTATGGTTTTAGAAAAATGTGCAGATCGGTTGAGGCGCGCGTCCAACTGCACCGAAACAAATACTAAAAATTAAATCCCCCAAATAATCAGATTTCATATTTGACTTTACATCCTGGTATTGGCAGATGTCAGATAAACACACTGCAGCTTTTCCCAAAACATTTTCCCCACTTTTTCTACTCAGTGTCACAATAACCTTGTCTAAAGCACCATGACATTCCACTCTGTAGATGTAGAAGGTATTTTTCTTTTTCCTGGGGACAAATATTTTCATGCACTGACATTTAAAAAGTAGAAAGACAAAAAAAAATCTCATCCTCCCTGCTGCTCTTTTTTTTTCCTCTTTAGCTGAACAAAAAGACAGTTATTCTTCGCTTTCTAAGGACAAAACTGATCCCTTGCAGTAGTGAATGTGGCACCGAGCCTGTCTGTATATCTGGTATCTGAAATCATTTTGTTTTTACTGACCAGTATTCTGCTTAAAATAAAACAAAAATCAACCCAAAAACAACAAAAAAGTCTGCTTCTGTGACGGTTTTCTTGCTTAGCTCGCACGTGGTTGTGAAACTTTAGGGTTAGCTTAAATATACAAAAAAAAAAACACAAAAATGGTTTAAAAATTTTGAAAAAAACATCCTGAGTACCTTTCTTCACTCTGGTTCTTGACGTAAAACTAGATTTGTGTATGTCTTTTAAAAAAAATCCAATTCTAGTTTAACCTTTCATGTTATAAACAGGATAAATTGTAAAAGACGATTTAAAGTGAAATAAAGTTTTATCAGTTCCGAATCAGCCCTTCTCTTTGTCGTCACCTGCCAGCCTGGTCATGCTACATGTTTCTGACTTCCTGTTGAGCATATGTTGTACATCTAAGGGGGGTAGGTTACCAAACAACCAAATAAACCATCTACCAACCTGCCAATCAACAGATCAAATCTCTGGCTCTGTTGAGGGGAAAGACTGTTGGGACAGAAAAATGCAAATCTTCAGCACGTTAACAGGCTTCAGTGATATCAAGTCTCTGCGACGTTTTATTCAAATAGACGTATGCAAAGTTTTATTCTCGTTTGGTCTTCATAGACAATCAGACAACGGGTCGAGAAATAATCCTGCACAAAAACAAAGGACTTGGACTGAATGCTGGTTTCTGTTCATCATTTTCACCATCCTCGTCACTTTTACACAATCCTTTTTTTGGTTGAAACTACATTTTTTTCATAAACTGGGTTTCAGATGAAGTTCTCAGATAAATTAATAGAAATATCCTTTGATCCTCACTGGGAATTTCAGCTGAACCAGCAGCAAGTTAAAGTGGATGAGAAGACGGGACAGGAGTAATATAGTCCAGTTAAAATGGCATACTGAGATCAAAGGAAACATGCAACTGATTGTATTTCTTGTGGATGGATGCATTTCCATAAATCTGCAAATGGTGATTTGCAAATAGCAAGAATATTGCTAGGAGGAAGGATCTGTTATGCTACTTTGTGCAACCAGGATGCAGCTCTGTCTGCAGCTCCATGTATTCAGTTCAGATCCGTTTATTTTGATGGCACCAATTCACAACAAATGTTTCAAAGCACTTTACAAAAAAAATAATTGAAACATTCCAGTTGATCCTAGTTGTCAGTGCAGTAAGCTCAATTAATTCAAAGTAAAGAAAGTTTCTAAGGAAACTCATCAGATTGCATCGAGTCTTTGACTCGCAGCATTTTCTCCTGGATATAGTGACAATCGCTGGCGTTCTCTTTGGCTTTACAGCAATCCTGCACATGGAGCATGCATGTGGCAACAGTGGAGAGGAAAATCTCCCCTCTAACGGGAACAAACCTCCAGCAGAACCAGAGCAAGCGGCCATCTGCCTGGGATTTGAGAAGATGAGGCAGATGCATGATATTCTTGAAAGTGTGGGGTGGAAGACATTTTCCAGCAGTAATCTGGACACATCAATTCTTTCTCCACATTTCCTGGCCAGTTTGTCACCCGACATGTTTCCTGCTGTCCTGAGAATGGGCGGGCCACGCCCTCCTGTTCGCCCGGGTTGCTTACTGATCTGTTGGGGTCAAACGATCACAGAGCCTGTCTGTACATCTGAAACGAACGATTCAAAGGGATTTCCTCTCGGCCATGACCTCTAGAAGTGTTTTGATGCATTTGATCCATATCGCCCCGTGTTATGAGAACGGCTTGGTTCAGTGTTTGGGATGAACCACCTGCAGCCTCCAGACTCAAACTGCAGGGCAGTTCCGCCTTCAGAGGTTTGTTCAGGATTGGGAGTTTGCATCTTGTCCAAACCTTGACTTCACACTTTGATTGTTCCAGTCCCGACCTTTGACCACTCTGGAGTTAATCATTCACCAAGTCTTCGCTGCAGCTATTTGAGCTGTTCGATTGGATGATTTCAATTTTCTTCCACTTCTTCCTGGCTCTGGTTTCTGTTTTAAACCATTTGAGATGATTTTAGCTCAGCGGTCTACCTTTTAATCACTGCTGCCCATTTTACTATGATTTTCAATGAAATTCACTAGAACCAGTTTTAGTCATCCCTGTTTTTTTTAACTCCTGTATTGTTTTGTCAATGCTTGATCAATTGATCTGCACATCTACCAGTAAAGTACTGATCTGCTCCAGTGGGTGCTGTTCTGTCCGGTTTATCTAAATGTTTGCATTCAGGGCCAAGAAGCTGCCGCGCCCAGCTCACTTGAGACCAGAAACGAGGCTTCGGGGCCAACTTCCGTATTCATTTCATGTGATATTATTTGATTTTGACCATTCCACTGGGGAGACGTAACTCGGAAAAGTGTTTCCAGACAGTTGATGTATCTTCAAAATGAATTGTTCTAGCACATTCACGCAGATCCTTGTGTGAGGACACGTTTCCGTCTGCGCTGGGTTTGAAAGCCCAGAACTCCAGGAGTCTTTTCTTTGTGCGTCTCGTTGTCTGAACATGCCTGCTGCTGCTTGCTGCGGCTCCCGTCAGCCGGAGCGGTGAGTCACGGTTCACGCTGTGGTCGCTCGCCGACTTTTACAGCGTGTGTATTCAGCGGGGAGGAGCTCAGAGGTGTGTAGCATCTGACTCACTGCTACATTAGTTTTACATGTCACATCGCAGGGTGGGGCAGGAGCTTCAAGTTCAGAGCTGCAGTCACTGGTGAGAACTCTGGTGTGCTCAACCTACGAATCTCACAGAATGTAGGAAAACCGAATGACTGCAAAAGCACTAAACCTTACCAAGAATCTTTCTAGTGGAAATATCTTGGTCACTTGAAATTAAATAAAACTTACAAGTAACTTTTCAGCAAGATCGAAAAGCTTCTAAGTAAATAATTCCTTAAAATTGGAAAAGTAGTTCTATTGGTGGATTATTTTACTTATAACATGGGAAACATGTCTAAGTAAAATAATCTGCCAATGTACCTCGGCCTTTTTCATCAATATTAAAGAATTATTGACTTAAAACAAGCTCCTACACCTTAGTTTTCTTAAGTTTTGTCTTATTTCAAGTGTACTAAGATTTTTTCACTAGAAAGTAGAACAAAAATACTTTGATTTTCTGTGTTTGTAGTGAATTGTACATCCACGTTTGGTCTCCATGTTTTAGAGTACAGACTGACTGGTGTGTGTGTGTGTGTGTGTGTGTTTGTAATACGTTGTGGGGTCCGAAGCCTGGTCCCCACAAGTGGAAACGCTGTTTTTGGGTCGGGGTCAGATTTAGGACGAAGGTGTGAATTGAGTTTTGGTTAGGGTTAGGTATATAGTGGTTAGGGTTAAGATAAGAGTAAGGTTCAGGCTGTAGAAATGAATGAAAGTCAATGGAAAGTCCCCACAAAGATAGTCACGCAAATGTGTGTGTGTGTGTGAGAGAGAGAGAAACAGTCCCCCCTCCTTTCTGTATGAACTGGATCTGCTTTGAGGAAATTCATGTCTGAGTTCTCTGCCAATGCAAACATTTACCTCAACATGTTGGTTACACTTTCGCTTTCAAGCTACTCGCCATTACAAGCTTTGAAGAAAACTTAAATATCCAGGTGAAAAACTGAAGATTTTAACAACGAAAGGCCGTCCAGTCGTACCAGAACTAAATGAGATCAGTGAAAGCAGTGTGGTTGTCGAGCGGTGCATCTTTGTCCTGCAACAGAACCCAACGGTTTCTGTTTCCTCTTTTAGCAGAGGAACCGTTCCAGACAAGCTGCTACGCACGTGAACATCCAACCCAAACAGGCAGAAAAGACCTCGCTTGTAAAACACAGACTTGTTTACCACTAAACATTTGAGGTGTCCAGCTCTACAGGTGGATGATGTGACCTGTTTGCCCGACTCATCAGAATGATCTACCAGCAAGTAAAAGAAAAGGTTTGCTACAAACCTTTGACTCTGATTATCATTTTAAAAAATGATTCCTGGTTGACGGTTTCAGCTGCCAAGACAAAAGCTTTAGGACATCTGGGAGTGTCGCTTACTAATGGGCAGAATTGTTGCCACCAGTGCAGAGCTTGCTAAATGTTAGCAACAGATGTTTGTGAGTGCAGCTAACAAAAAGGACGCAGAGCCGCCTCTGGAGGCAAAGTCATTTTATAATGAACCCTGCTGACTGTTTTTGTCCAGAGAAGAAAAGGTTAGAGGTGCCAACAGTGTGGCAAAAAAATCCACTTTAATCAGAAAGCTGACAACAGTTTGGTAGAGCAGCCAGAATTTAGTGACCTCCGGTGTGTTGCTGGTTCAGCAGAGTGGAGGTTGTCGTTGGGTCAGACATTTCTCCCACCACTTGTCTGCTGCTGCTGTTTCCGATTTAATGACGGTCTGTCTTCTGTCAGTTCACCACAAGCCAGCTTATCGCCATCTGTAAGCAAATGATTGTTTCTTCGGAGTCCTCTGACTTGATGAATTTGTTATACAAATGCAAGTAGTTCAAAGAAACATTAAAAACTTGGACCTGTAGTCAGGAAACCCACCAGAATGTAACCCGACTTAGATTTTAGAAAAAAACACGTAGAGAAACGGAAGCAAAGTGATCAATGCCAAGCTCTGAAGGCCGGTGACCGCCAGTCAGGAAGAATGATCAACACTGTAGATATGGACATTCTGCTAAAGATGTGCTAATACACAGACCCCACAAATCTAAACCGGGATTGATCTGCACACCTGAACCGCCATCTTGGTAGGCAAGCGCAACGTGAAGCAAAGATGAACAATAAATAGAAAACTGAGCACTTAAAAACTGTAATGTACTTATATTGTTTATAAATTAGATTGGAATGAGGCAAAGCTAGTTCTAAGCTTATGGCTTGTTTATTTTTAGCATAGCAACTGAGTAGTTACAGCTGCCTACCAAGATGGCCGTCAGCTACAAAGTCCCTGTAAGTGTGACGTCACTTAAAAACTGCCTAAATGTAGCTTTTGAAACTGATAACCTCTAAGCTGGCAGTAAACATGCTTTTAATTAAGGCTGTTTCTAATTTTAAATGTCATGTTTTCATAAACTTTTAGAAAATCACTAACAGAAAAAGTGTTAAGATAAAAAGTGTTAAGATATCCATCTGTGTGTAATTAATCCAAGTAATATTCCACGTTTTGATAAAGTTCCCAAAATAAATGAATTTATCAAATAATATTTTAATTTATTGAATGTGTGTGCGTGCAAAGCAGAAGAAAAAAAAATTATCTGCATGACTGGAAACACCTGCACATGACTATTCTGATTTTTATCTGAAAAGTGTTGCATATTAGCAAGTTAAAGGTCATATTTTATCAATCTGTTCAAACCAGGTGAGAACAACCAAATTTTTATTAGGAAGACAACGGTGAAATAAAAAATGCTGAGCCAAAGATGTGAAAACACAATTCATTCTGAAGGTTTGTTTACGATCAGAACAATCGGAGATCAATTTATGTTTCGCAAACTTTCTCTGGATAAAGCAAAAACATGAATTATCTTTTAAAATCCTTTTTATTTTGCATACACTAATCCAAAGCAGCAGATGAATGACAAAGGCAGGCACTTCAGGCAAGATGGATGGAAAGGAAAACATTTCTAATGTTCACATCGCAGTGAAAAAACAGGAAAACAAAATGGCAGGAAGAGAGTTTTTTATTAAAGGTCCCGATCGTTCAGAGGAGAAATTAAGCGATCTTACACAAGCAAACAAATGTGATGATATAGTTCAGAACAATGTTTTATCAAACATTACAAAAACTGCAATAAATGAGGAACTTCTTAAATGTTGAAAGATCAACACCCTCCCATGATAAGCGGTCAAAAACCGGAGACCAAAAGTAAAGAAATAAAATAAAATAACCTCAGAGCAAAACATGAAAAAGATCATGAAGTTTCATCATCATCATCATCACAGCTAATCCGATTTATTTATTTTATTCATATAGATCTGATACTCAGGAATCGCTTCTCCAGCCAAGCGGATTCATTTTCTTTCCCGTTTTCTCCTAAAACTTTATAGTTTAAAATCTGTATTTATCTTTGGGGTTCAGGGAAATCCCGTTTACAGGTTTCATCTTTCAACCGGACAGCCTTCTGCAGCTCTGAGGTACTTTCTACAATATTTCAATCCTCAGCAGACGCTTCAGTCTGAGGGATTTTCCTTATTTTGAGGTCAATCAGTTTCATCAGGATTGTTTTTTATTCTGAAGCAGGTAAAGTCGACTTCATGTGCTAATTCAGGAATCCTCAGGGATGAACCGACAAATCAATCTGATCCACCGACATTTTACCTGAGGTCTGGAAATCAGCCGCTGTCGCCTTCAGCTTTGCTGACACCAGGTCACGTCTGCATGTTAACAGTCACTGCTGCAAACTTAGCAACTACGTTGATATATTTAGAAAAAAAAATTGATGTCGGCCAAAATCGGAATCTGCAAGTCAGAGTTTTGAAAAATCGGTGACCGTCTAGAAAAGTGAAGTCGGTGCACTCCCAATCACAGCGTCTGAGTTTGTTTCCTCCTGATGAATATTTACTGAAAAGTTACTCATAATGTAAGAGGCATAAATGCATAAAGTATGAGACCATGTGGCTTTTTTTCACTGCATTTCTTTTCAGGATCAGAGGAAACATTCAGACGGAGAAACAACTTCAGATCAGAGTCACAGCTGATCAAGATCCCTGATCTGAAAAAACACAATTCCTGGAGACTTTATGTCCAATCTGCATTACTGTTGGCTCAGCTTTTATAATCGTCATGAACATTTACATCTGAGTCCATAATTTCTGCTGACTCATCGTGTCTGATCCACCCACAGACAGAAACAGTGAAACACCCAGAGGAACCGGTTTCATGCCATTTGGTACCAGAACTGAGTGTTTGGAGTATTTTATTAACAGGTTTGGAAATAAACTGATTAAAAAGGAATGGAAAAACTTTTTGCTCATTAGCTGCCAAATAAAAAGATGTTTTGTCTCTGCGGTGGATTGTAGATGAATATTCGCTCATGGCTGAACTTTATGGTTATAGATGATAAACATACAGGCTGGAAACATGAGGGAATAACTGCAGCTGATATAAATAAACATAAATACTGAATCAGAGGGGCTGACTGTAAAAACTGAATAGCTGTAGATCGGTCGGGTCAAACTGAAGCGTTCTGACTCAGACGCCCGGATCCCGGCACCGTCTCACTTCTTCTGCGCCTCCTGCAGCAGCTTCAGAGCGGCCGAGTTCTTTGGCTCCACCTTCAGGAGGACATTCAGGTCGTCCACACAGGCCTTCAGGTCCTGCAGGGACGAAAATGAAACGTTTCAGTGACAAACCGATCCAGACGCATCAACTCACAACTAAAAATCCAAATATAAACATCAGGAACGTCTCAGCTGGAAGAAATGTGCCTGAGCTGAAAGGCGTCTGGAGAATCTGTGGTAATAATTACAGCTTTTCAGGAAGAAAGATCAAGTTTTTCATAGATCAGAGTTAACAGAAGTAAAAACAGAAACAGGAAAATGTTTCCTCTTCATAACAGAGGAAGGTTGGGTTTTTCTTTCAGCCCCACATACAGACTGAGCTCATGCTGAGGCCGTCCTGCTTTCTGTTACCATTCCTACAGACCAACAGCAGATAAAGTCCAGTTTATCATCTTAAATCCTCAAGATAAGATTAATAAGCAGTGAAAGGTGGCAGCCCTGCTGCCTCCACATCTTCTGGTGTATGTGAGTGAAATGTTGCTATGAAAGCTGCTGTGTTTGTCTAAATCAATCAATCAAGTTTATTTGTGTAGCACATTTCAGCAACAAGGCGGTTCAACGTGCTTTACTTTAAGAACATATATAACATACATGTTGCTGTCGTTACACATCAGATTATTGATCAATGTTTCAATTATCATGGTTCTAAAGCAGCTCAAACCAGGTGGGTTTTAGTCTGGATTTAAAGGAACTCAGTGTTTCGGCTGTTTTGCAGTTTTCTGGAAGTTTGTTCCAGATTTGTGGAGCATAGAAGCTGAATGCTCCTTCTCCATGATTGGTTTTGGTTCTGGATGCAGATCAGAACCAGAACCAGAAGACCTGAGAGGTCTGAAGGCTGGTCAAACAGCAGCAGCAGATATTTAATCCGTTCAGTGATTTACAAACTACCAGCTGTAGTTTAAAGTCTCTCAGTGAAGGACTGTAGAACCGGGTGGTGTAGATCTGGGTGGTGTAGATCTGGGTGGTGTAGATCTCCCTGGTTTTAGTCAGCAGCGTTCAGGATCAGCTGCAGGATTGATATCTTTAGTCAGACCTGCTGCTGCAGTAATCAATGCAACTAAAGAGAGACGCCTGGATGAGTTTCTCTGGTCTGAGACTTTAGTCCTCTGGTCCTGAAATGTTCTGCAGGTGATGGAAGAACCACTGTGGAACCGGCTTCATGTGGCTCTGGAGGGTCAGGTCAGAGGTCAACCTGATCACTGGTTTCTAACTGTAATAACAGAGGCTGTGCGTTGGCTCTAGATCTATCACTCTAGATCATTCTTCTTTAGGGAAAAGGTTTGTGCTCTCACCTTGAGCTCCTTGTGAGCCTGCGCTCTCCGGTAGAGCGCCTTCACGTTGCCGCCGTCCATCCTGAGCGCCTCGCTGCAGTCCCTGACGGCGTCTCTGTACTGCTTCACCGACAGGTAGCACAGCGCCCTGAACACAACACAACTCATTAACGCATTTATTTAGACCAGGGGTGCCCAATACGTCGATCGCGGAAGGTTTTGAGTCGATCTCGGCAGATGACACTCTGAACGCCACCAGGACGCTGAGAGCAGCGCTTCCTCTTCTGACGGGCTGATCAAAAATATTCACTAAGATCCTAAACGTTTGTAACTTCATTAAAAAATAATAATTATTAAAAAAAACGAGATGTGTTAAAATTAATAATCTCAGTAATTATTGTTTGAACAAGGTGTTGCGCAATTCAGTGTGTTTCGGTCCCATTAAAAAAAAGAAAAAAAGACAAAAACAAAAAGGCGACTCAAAGACCGACTGACGAGCAGAGCAGGAGTTTAAATTAGCTACTCAACCACCGCTGTGTTCATGAGAGGCTTATTAACAATCGAGGAATAAATATCAAGCCTGGAAACCTGATATCATAACGGACTGAATGTTGTGTTTTTAACGTAATCTCTGCTCGGCTTGGGGGCGCAGGAGGTTGCCACGGCAACGGGTGGCTTAAACAACAAAGAGACAGAGAGTAAAAAGGTAGGAGTGGTTTAGAGTTGATCGTCTGTTCGGGTTGTTTTACCTTCGTTTACCTTTGTTTACCTTTGCTGTGGCTCATCACAGCCGCTGTAGTTTCTGAACATTCAATAAACGACAAACTTGGACTAATTATATATTTTGTTTGTGAGTCTATGTCACAACAAACATCAAATAGGACAAATATATTTCATTAAGTTTTAACAAATTCTACCACGATAATTATGTGAAATTAAATTAATTATATCCCGACTTCCGAAGATTTGCCTTTAGCTTTTCTGGGCTCTTTGCTTAGTTTCTCATATTTCAGTCATCAAACCAAAGTTCAGATCTACCATGACTGACTGACACCTGCTGGTTTGCAACCAGCTTCTGACTGAGAAACCAGTAACCTGCTCCCAGTGTCAGAATCTCACTGAGGAAGAAACTGTGTTAGGTTTTCTGTCACTTTATTATTTCTGCTATAACTGATGCATATTTGCATATAAAATAAGTCAATGGAGTTTAAATGGCAATTTTTATGTCTTTGTGTCATGAGGTAGATCTCAGGCGGCTGGTGAGAGGAAAAGTAGATCTTGCTCTCAAAAAGTTTGGGCACCCTGATTTAGACATTTTAAGACTCTGAATGTTATGTCTATAATTTATAGTCACTGGTTAATCAAGGGTCACCAGGCCCGGCGGCACGGACGGGCATTGGGGTGCATTGCCCACCCACAGAGTCAGCCGTGCCCCTGGACTGGAAGCTGTTTGTTGTTTTTACCTCAGTGGCCAACTCTCTGTTATTCCTATATCAGTTTGATACAGTGGGAGCTTCTGCACTTCCAATGTTAGCACCTTCTGTCACTTTTATCAGCAGTTAAAACTGTTTAATCCGTTGTTAACATGTGGTAACCTGTTTTTCCGAGCCGCCTACACAGGCAGCAAACCAGCAAAACGCAAAGAACTTTTCACAGTTTTTCCCCCAAACTAACTGACTGTTGAGTAAAGCTGCTGGATGCAGGTGAAGTTAGCTAAAAGATGACTAGCTAACATCAATACAGCACCTTAAGCTTAACAAGTAGCCTGTAGGCTCCTGGTGTTTATGTTCAAAAGTGTGTAATACTTGTTCCATTGAGTAACTTTTTTGGAAAAAGGTACTTATACGAGTAGTTTTACTGCACTGACTGTACCTTTTTCTTTTACTTGAGTAATATTATTGTTGCTATGTATTCATTTTGCCCCCCTGTTAAACTCGTCTGGAGACGGGGCTGAGTGTCACTCTTAGCGGTATTGTAAAACAGAAATCATAGAGCAACTTCATGGTTTAAAAATGAGGGAGCCACACAAGAAAAAAAAGAAGTGTTTTGCTGGAAACCGTCAGATCTGGCAACCCTGTCGAACGGCGCCATGTTTGTTATCTGAGGTGAGAGACACGGAGCGGCTCTTATTGTGAAAATGTTCTCATCACGATGAGGATTTTGATTTATTGGTGTTTCAATAAATTCCCATTAATGATGTTTAAAGAAAAAAAAATCATGCTATTGGAAATGTTATCTTACTTTCTTCACTGTTTTATGAGAACATCAATAAATATGTGATTAAATGCAGCTGCTGTGATCAGTTTAGTGATATAAATCTCATTTAGTTACATAAGTGGCGTCCTGAGGAAGCCTGATTCAAATGGGAAGTACTTAGTAGATTTTTAATCATTTTTATCATCACCAAAACTGATCATTTCTGGTTTCAAACCTTCACTAAAATTGTTTCTGAGCAGACGGGGCTGAATTTGAGTAAAATGCTGTTTGCAGGCATCTGGTGTTTGTTTTTAACACATCTTTCTTGTATTTTCTGGTTTATCTACATGTAAAGGTATCTTCAGCTCACCGGTTGGTGTAGGTTGTGATCTCGTTGGGGTTGAGTTTCAGGCTCTGGCTGTACTTCTCTATGGCCTTCTTATGCTCCCCTTTCTTCACCAGACTGTTGCCTTCTTCCTTCAGAGCCTGCGCTTTTTTCATATCTTTGTCACTTGGTGCTAACAAGAGAAAAAAGGATTTAAATATATAACTCTTTGTTAGGTCCAATAAATTGGGGCAAAATGATCCCATTCCATCTCTTAAAAGTGCACTAAGAACTGAGTGCTGACTTATTCTTTGCTGCTGCAGGAAGCTGTAAGTGCTCACCGGGTTTGTCTGTTTTCTTGATGCCGTTGTGCTGCGGCGCCGGGTTCGCCTTCGGACCGCTGCCTGCAGCCTGCTGGGCGAGCTTTTCCCTCACCGACAGAGGAACGGTGGGGATGGGAGGAAGTTTCTCCCTCCACGACGGGCCGTCTGCCTCTGTTAGCGCTTTAGTCATTCTGAGAAAACAGGAGACGATTTTATTTACATGCAAAATAAACGACAACATGCTGCCCGCAGTGGCAGAGTGGGTGAAGATGTAAAGCTGCAGTGTGTAACTTTTATAAAAATTAAGTTTTTACATGTTTGTAAAACATAATTCATTTGTTTGAAGACATAAAACAAATGATGACAAATAAAACACCAGTTTCAAAGAAAGGATGTAAAACTGAGTGAGAAACTAAACCGCCACATTCTTGCTAAACTCGCCCTGAGAGGCAGAAGCTGGTTTATCTGTCGGGTGTTTGAAGGGAGCAGCGGTTCCCGACCTGTTGGTGCCGTCATGAGCTGCTGCTATGTTGCAGTCGATCTGCAGGGCGGTTTTGTAGTCGATGTAAGCGTGTCTGTAGCGCTCCAAGGCTTCGTAGGCAGCAGCGCGTCGGAGCAGAGACTTCACGTTGAACGGGAACAACTCCAGAGACCTGAGGGAAGACGAGCAGACTGCAGGTGAACAACTCAAACGCTGCGTTTCCAACGGGCCGGAAATCCACATGAAACAGGAGGCGCAAGGTTTGGAAAAAAGAATAAGATGAAACAAAAAATCTGGTTTCTGCAGAACTGCGTAAATAAATGAGTTTTCATGAAAACTCCTTTTAGTTGTGATTTGTTCTGATTTTCGATTTTTATTCATATTTTTTAGTTGAAGCATTGCTTTATGGAACAATTATTGTCTCTGTTTTCGATGCTGTGCAGTTGGAAGGAGTTCTGCTCTTTTCTTTCGGCCAGTGAAGATGCAGGAAACAGGAAACAATTTGTTTTTTACAACCAGCAGCCATTATAACATTATTTTATTTAAAATATATATATGTAATATATACATAATATTTCTGGACGATAAATTGTCCCAGAAGTTATTTTGATAAACAGTAATATCTCAAAGATGTAATGAACATTTAACCCTGGAACTGGAAAACATTTAAATATCCTAAATAAATAAACAAAACAACAAACAAAATGAATTATGAAGTTTCTGTAAACAAAATTGTCCTTCATAAGAAGGGCTGGTTGAGACCAAAGCAGCAGACTGAACCATAAATCATCCAAACGGAAATTATTGAGCTCATTTTAATTTATCATGTGATTAATTGATTTATTGCTTATTGTGGCCAGCATAAAGAGAGCAGCTGATTAGCAGCTCAAAAGGCTGAACAAACATGAGACTGTCTTCAGTCAGAGGCTTCTTCAGTCAGCAACACTGACTGCTACTGGAGATCCTCCAAAGATACTTGGATTAAACGAGCTATGACTTAATTTTACTTTGGGATAAATGAAGTGAAATGAAATGTTAAAATTATAGTTAAATGGAAACTCTTCCTGGTCATAAATATAAGATATTTAAAAACAAATAAAAATAAAATATAAAACAAAAAACAAACATACAGATAAATGAAAAAGAGCTAGGAAAAAGGAGTAAACTGTTAAAAACTGAGATTAACTAGAAAATGACACATAAACTACTTACGTATCGCAGTCTTTGACACATTCTGAGCAGTTCCCGTCCTTCAGGTAGCTGGCGGCTCGGTTGGAGTACAGGATGGCCAAATCTTCAGGGTTCTTTTTATCTGTGCATAAACAACAACAGCAGATTAAAACTGAACATTTTCCCTGCAGGGTGCCAAGAAGAGAAGCAAATGTTCATTATTTGACATGTAAATGGGATGAATTCAACAAGAGTTGAGGCTTTTTTCCTCCAAAACGCTCTGAGTGTGTGTGTGTGTGTGTGTGTGTGTGTTTGTGTCTGTGTGTGAACGAAAAACAAAAGAAAAGAAATGTGGAATATCATCTGTGATATCGTTGGAGGTATTTAAAATACATAATGTGGTATCACTTTTTTTCAGTATTGCTAAAAAAGCTGCCATGTTCACAGAAAATGGCGCATTAATACTCACTGGACTTCTCTAGTTCCTTGATGGCCTGGCTGTACAGGCTGGTGGCGTCTCCATACTGGCCCGTCTTGAAACATTCATTTCCTGCTTGCTTTAGTTCTGTCCAAGACTTGGGTTTCTGTTTCTGAGGCATTTCTAGACTTTAAAACTGTTCCTGGAAAAATAGAAAATCAAATTATTCAGAGAAAATCCTGCATAAATCTTTAAGTCAAGCTGCTCTTGTTATATTTCTTTATTGTACTTTTACTTTCAGTTCCAAGTAAGACGACTGTCTATTAGAGTAGAATGAATGTTACTGACATCTTGAAAAAGTAATTACAGAAATTAATGCGGCATGATTTCATTTAACCGTATAGTTTGACTATAATTATATGACTGGATTAATTTGATAACACTTATGTGTAAACTGAACCGTTTGTTATTACACTACATTTGTTGTGCACCATTCATATACAAGGTAATTAAAAGAAAGAAAAAAGAAATCAGCAAAAATAATTAATATTTATAGCACAATATTCCTTATATCAGTTATCATTAGACTGTAGATGTTGTGAAGCTACTGTACATATAATGTGAGGGCAGCTTAATTTAAATGAGGACTTAAAACGAGTAAATTCGCCACATAAAGTCATTATGATTATAGTGTATTCCTACACAGTAAACTAACGTTAGCTAGTGATATAAACTAACCTATCAGTCTGGCTTTTTCAATCATACCGAAGCTAAATTAATTAATTGCTCCGAATAATGCAACCGAGTTTATAGAGGGTATTTTTTAATAAAGATTTTTGGGGGCATAGTGTTTGAGGGGGTATATTCAAGCTAACTACTTAGCCACTGCTAAGCTAGCTCTGTAAATGTTAGCACATCTTACCGGCTGGTTGATCTGACAGTGGGGATTCCTACTCTGCAGTTTGGTTTGAAAGCGACTACACTTTTTCCCAGTTAGCCCAGCTAACGCTAACATTACTCTGAGCTCTAATGTCGTCCTGCCGGATTACAGACACGAGGTTGTCCTCGGTCTGTGCGGAGCTTCTGGAAAGAAGATGCCGGTTGGATCTCGTAACTTCTCAGTTTGGTGGAGGGAGCACTGAGGGGGAGCTACTGCAGGCTAACGTATCGGTTTCACTTCGTTTTAACGGTGCGTTCAGGGACCCTTTCAAGTGTCGCAAATCTGAAATGTATGTGAATAAGCGTTGCCTTGTGCCCTCTAGGGGCCGATCGCTGTTTTGAAGTTCCACTTGTTTCCCTTATAGATATTTACATAATTAAAACTGTAATGCATAAATTTAATAACTAATTTAAATGTTTCAGTAATGAATTAAATTTAAATGATTAAGATTTATTGTCATATGTAACTGTTTCAATTGTTTTTTTAAATTTAATTTTATTAATTCACAGTTCCTTTGCTACGATCCACAATAAAATATTTTTAAAATACACCCAAACTCAAAATGGATTACCTGCATAGCAACTCAACTGTAGACCAATCGCCTTGGTTGTAGTAGTTAGTCCCCCCAAATTGAGAATTTTACATTTGACTGAAAATATAACATAAAAATAATGGATAATGAATCATTTCTAAGTTGTAGTTATTTAATTGTGTAAATTATAAATTATTTCAACATTTCAATTATCAATATAAGTATGTTTGTGTTTTTAGTTTATTTGTAATTAGATATTTAGCAATTTATGTATTGCTAACTGAATTTCATTATGTCTACATCCTGAAAAACCCCTCCATGCTGTTTTTTTAATTAATTTATTCAATTATTATGAGTAGTAGTCGTAGCAGCATCAGCAGCAATAGTATTTGTTATTAATCAAAAGCACATGGACAGATAAAATCTCCGGAACCATTTTATTTAAAAAAGCAAAAATAAAACATCCATAGTGACTGATTTATAATCAAGGGTTTGGATCTTACAGCTGCAAATAGTAAAACTTTTAACTGGGTTTTAAATGGCTTCGGTGAATTATTTTTACTATGAAATTGGCACATTTTATTCTGATTTCACAAATCAAAGGAAAAACATACAAAACGTTTAAACTCAATTGAGAACTGAAAGACTTTTTTTCCAAACAAAGGTACATCATTCTCTAATTTTTTCTTCTTTTTTTTAATACCATCACAAGTTCACACGTTTAATTTAATGTGTCCCATTTTGTGGACAGCCGTGAACGCATCATCAGACGGAGCGCAGCAGTTGGTCGGTTTCTATTTCAGGGAAACGCCGTTTCTGGCTCTGGGAAGCAAATCATGTTCAATGAGAAACTGACTTAAAAATGGATGTTGCTTCTGTTGAAAAGCTTAACTTTAATAATAAGAAACTAGTAAAAACTTTAACTCTTCTCCAAAAATGTAACTTCATCTCATAAGCAGATCCCTCTGTTTGCTTTTTGTTTGTTTGTTTGTTTGTTTGTTTTTTGTTTTTTTCTTTTTGCTGTAATATATCCTTCTTCATATGTATTTAAATATATCTTTGACACTTTTTGTTATGAAAACTATAACTGAAAAGGTACACAAAGTTTTATTTTACCAATGTATATTTCTTTAACTTTTGGCTCTCTAGACTTTAACATCAACACCCTGAATGTCTGTAATTATTCTTTATTATTTGTTTTTATTACTGTAATATTCTAATATTTGTCATCAACGTCCATGTATGTTCATGTTATTTGTTTGAAATAAAGTTATATAAAAAAATCATGTTCAATGAGCAGGTCTCACGTTATTTGAGTATTAACTTGAAAATTAGAAATAATAATTTAAAAATAATTTTTTAATTTAATTTTGTTCTCTCAGATGTCTGCAATACTGTTATTTAGGCATACTGGCTTAAAAATACTCTAATTTTGTCTTGTCACAATCAAAATGTTAGGCATTTCTAAGGCATTTACTGAGGGTAACTATTAACTTATTAGAATGAATAAAAAAGTAAAGAAAAAAGAGAAATAAATAGTGTGAAAAATTAAATCCCAAGTGACAGAACAGGATGAAAAAATCATAGCAGACTCCAACTTAATGTGATTATTAAAGCTATTATGTCACAAAATTACACATCCTAACTAGACTCTAGGTTTATGTTATTTAATTAGACAAAAAGTTGCACAATTAAGTAATTGCAAAGAGAAGACATTTCATGTTTTGTAAATTTATTAATCAGGAATACATATAAAGAGAAATTGCTGAAACACAAAGCACACAGAAGTATGAAACTGCAGGAGAAAGTTTCTTTAGTTATTGGAAAGCAGACGGACAGTTTGTGATATTTCTTATATATCCTTTCATTAACACTCAAAGTAAAATCAAAACATCCTTAAATAAATTAATTCTAGATTAGCAAGAAATTGTGCAATGCTTTAATAAACATATAATATCCCAGATTATGCAAAACCGTGAAACCTAAAATACATGACACATCTTCTGTCTTGATTTCAATCATCTTGTCGTAAAGGGGAGACAATGTGAGAAAGTCAAGGTTTAATGTTGACGATGCAGCTGGACTTGATGTCTTTGAAGGAGTTGCAGCTGAAGTTGACCAGCAGACTCCGCTCTCCGGTTTTGTAGGGAACGAGGACGACTGTAACACGGAACCTGCAGTTTGGCCGCAGATTTGGAAGTCTGCAAGCAGCACAAAAGCAATTTCAAAAATAGTTTGAAGAAATATTAGCTAATCAACACTTGCTTTTACTGTTTCCCTCTCAGACTTTATTGCAGTGTAGAAAACCTTCAGTTCAGCAGATTATATTTAACTACAGTTTAAATGCCTAAAAACCATCATTTCTGCAATAATTTTGTAGTTCCGTCATGCATACTCACTTGGTTATTTCTTGCCCGATCATGAGTCCACTTCCAGACAGACTCATAGAGCAATCCCTCAAGGTGTCATCGATAGGATTCATGAAAACCACTTCAGCAGTCAGCTCCTGGTTCACCTTGCTTCCCCCAGTCACCTGCATCACAAACAGCCTTAATCAGCTGAAAAAACTAACTCTAAAATAATTTAATGTACTTTTTTAACCTAAAAAAAAAATTAAAAACTCAATAAGAAAAAAAAAATGCAAAAAAATATATTTTCCTCAAACTTAGCAGTCCTGGTGAAAAGACAAAAAGTACAAATATGCTTGAACCAGATCTGATCCAGTTTCATGTTGTGCAAAATAAAAGAAAGCCACTACGCAGTTTCACACTGTAAAAAATAAAAACAGCGTATCTCCAGCGGTTTGCTAATTGCTGCTGGCTAGTCTGAAGGAGCTCTCAGCCTCATCTTGAAGGCGGGGCTAGGTCCAACCAGGCGTTTATGACTGCTGAATGGTTGCCATGGAGATCAAAGGATTTCTCAAACATGCATAAAAGAATCAAGGCGACGCCCCAGGTTTGATTTGATCAGGGAAAAACATTAAAACATGATGGAAAGTTACATGATACTGCCCCTTTAATAGGTGGGGAAGAGGTGACTTTTAAAAAGTTACATTGGTAGTTTCTGTACTTACAGTGATGGAGACTGGGGGGTTGGTGAGCACAACTCTGTTTGTTGCCAAGTACACGTTGTCCTCATTCTGTAGGTCAGTGATGATCGCTGATATGCTCATGGTCCGGCTTTGTATCATGTACTTATGGTAGACTGAGTATGGGACCTTAATAGGGACAATCAGATCTAAAACAAACCAAAAAAACAAGCAAATTTGAGTTCATGGTTGTCAGATTTCAATTTTAGATCCAAGTTTTCAAAGAAAAAAGAAAAGTGAACGACCTTTCTTCGGCAGCAGCTTCTGCTCTGTGACCTCGGTCTGGATGTTCCCCACTGGCTGGCCCGTGTACTTCATGGCCTGGATGCTGATGTTGACAGAAAACGTTCTGGTGGTGCTGGTGTCACTGCTCAGAATCATCCTCAGGTTCACATCCTTCCCATTCTCAGGCTTGGAGACCTTCATTGGGAATCAGAGGAAAGTGAAAGTTCACTCTCTTCTTCATAGCAGTAGACCAGGAAAGACGTCCAGCACTCTGGACGAAGGCTACCTCTTCAAATCGGATGCGCAGTTGTGGTTGAGAAGGATCAGGTGGAGGTACGATGCTCGTCTCCGACCCTGAACCCAAAACCCCCGTACCAGAACCACCAGCATCCCGCCTCATCGTTGATCCATTTGCGATTTTGTCGAGAGCATATGCAAAGACCATTCTTTCCTCCAGAGATCCTGTATCGGGTCAGTCAAAGAAGCTGCGTGAATAAACAAGTTTCATCACAGCATTTTAACGCATTAACAGTTTCATGTCAGTTGATTTGAGTCTGTAAATATCAGGTTTCCTCCAGTGTTGTTTGATTTATTTATTTTTATTTTTTTCATACATCAGTAACACGGTGTATGAAAAAATACACCGTATTTACACCAGTAACACAGTAATACACAGTGTTACTGGTAATTATCTGTTCAAAATGATAATGGCGTTTGATTGTACATACATAACCTACAGAAAGATTTCCCTTTATTTAAGTTTTGTTGTTGATGTTTTATTTACAAAATTTTCTATCAACTTTATTTCTTTTTTTTTTTTTTTACAAAAAGCTCTTGTAGCTAATCAGAGCTACAAGAGCACTCTGCGCTCTGTGTTTTCAGTTTGAAACCACAGAGCGCCCCCTGCTGTCCATGCAGGTGAGCCCACCTTCTCTGTGCTTGTAGGTGTTGGTGAGGTCCGTCCTCTGGTATGAGCCAACCGCCTTGGTGGAGATGTTCTGTCCAACTGTCACCGTGTCAGAAAAGATTTTCATCCTGGATCCATCACTTCTCACCTGGCAAGGCCATCAAAAACCCATCATAAGCAATCAAGCTTTTCTTTATTAATGCTTCAGAGTTTACTCTATACTGACCAGCCAGTAAACGGAGTCAGCGTTGACCTCGGCGAAGACAAACGGGACGTCGTATTTAAGATCGACCTCTCCGTTCCGGATGGCGGTCACTGAGGCCGGGCCACAGCAGAACAGACCTGCAGACACACATGCAACAAATTATCAAGTTATTTTATTCAAACGTTCACCCGACTGGTTTAAGATGAGTACAAACAACAAGTTGATGAGAATTAATAAAAGATGCAGAGGGACGGCTTTCCGTACCTTCACTCCTTTCCTGTGGTGTTGGATCCACAACCTGCCAGCCATCATATTTCCCGTCTGTTGCCAGGTCTGGTCGTCTCATCCACCCCTCAACCCAGACGTGGAAGTTCCTTAAGAAGAGAGCACAATATTCAGACTCTCAACAAACCTGCTAAAATAAAAACCAACAGACATTGAGAGGTTTTCAGACTCTGTGCATCTTTAGAGCAGTAAATACAGAGCCTCTCACCAGATGCTGTCTCTGGACTCCCTCTCCATCGCTCCGTTATAATCAAAGTAGCTGTCGATGGTCAGATTCTTGTTGGTGTCGTGAGCCGACTGGAAGTTGCTGACAACACGGCAGGGAATCCCCAGCAGCCGCATCACTGAAACCACGCATGAAAAATTCAGGAAAATGTTTTTTTTCTCCACCTGGTTCGTCTTGATGCCTTTGTAGTGACTTTATTTTTGATTATTAAAGCTGCAGTATGTAACTTTTATAAAAAATATGTTCTTTTACACATTTGTTGAAATTGTCACCATGTTGTGACTTTAAAGTATGAGACAGATAATCTGAGAAAAAATAGCTCCTCTACCTTCTCTCAGTGCTAAATAGAAACAACCAATCAGATCCAGGAGGCGGGTCTTAGTGCTGTCAATCACAATCCCTTCATTTTTCTTTACTATGCTGCAGCTAGCGTAGCCTGTAGCATGGTGGTGGATAAACAGTCTTTCTGTAATGGCGAATTTTTTATACGCCATTAGCACATTTAGCAGCAAGTACACAAGGTTGACTGACAGCTCTAAGCCCCTCCTCCTGGCTCTGATTGGTTGTTTTTGTGCATTTCTTCAGGAGATGAGAAGGTGATCCATCTTTTCACAGATTATCTGTCTCATAACAAACCGTGACAATATGTAAAAACCATATTGTTTAAAATACTTATATGCTGCAGGTTTAACTGAATATTTTCAGTGAACGTAGAAGCTGACAGTCAGACTTTACCAGAACACATGACGCCGGCAAACACCCAGCACTGCCCGTATCTGACGGAGCGGTAGTAGGAGTTGTACCACTGCTTCAGGATGGCGTAGCTGCCGCTCCAGTAGGTGGGCGGGACCCCGCCGCTGAAGTTGTTTCCCCAGTTTCCCATCACAACGCCGCCTTCATCAGAGCTGTTGATCTGAAGGAAAGTTAATCACACTTTCACTTCAGCAATATACTCGAATCCAAAGTTTTAAGTTTCTGCTCCGAATGTAAGAAAAGGCTGTCATGGTTAACTGAAACTAACAAAATAACGAAATATGAAATTCAGGAAACATTTTTGTTAACTGAAATAAATGAAGACAGTAATTAATCGGAAAAACTATAAATAACTGGGACTATAATGTGTGTTTATAAAACTAACTAAAGCATGCTGAGATATAAAATCCTTCATTTTTGTGTTATTAATCTATTTATTATTCTTTCAAACTTATCTGAAATTATTTTTTCTAAACACACAAGCAGTTTACGTCAGCTGTCGGCAAATTACGGCACTCTAAACTGAGAGCCGTAAACCTGACGAGGGGTTTGTGGCCTACCATGGCGCTGACCACCCGGCTGACGTAGATGGGGCTGGAGCGAGCAGAAACGTCATCAGCTGGATTAAGCCAGTGTTTGACGTTGAGGTCGAGCATCTTCATGCAGATCCTCACCATGCCCTCCTCAAACTGCACAGAAAGACAGAAATGGTAGATTACTGCTCTTAATCTGCCGTTACTCCACAGCTGTGAGATAAAATCTAAACACCAGGTGTCAATAAAACTAATATTCAAACATCCAAACACACTTTGTCCTTAACGTTAATAAGGTGAACTAAAGTTTTCTGAAAACTGAGAATTTGCTCCTGAAAACTTAACACCAATAATCAAATAAACATTCTCTTTTTTAAAAATTAAACATCATGGCAGTTTAGTCTCATCTTGAAGGAGTTCAGTAAAAACACATTAAGTTTTTAATGTTTATGAGTTTGGTTTGTGTTTGTACCTGCCCAAAGTCCCAGAACATTGGAGAGATGTAATCTCCGCCTCCTCTGTAGATGATTCCCTGTTCATTCAGCACATACTCCCGCCTCTCCTCCTCCTTGGGCAGAAACACCCAGTCATCTGAAGAGGAAGCCAAATAATACAGAAACTGGTCAATCAGCTAAAAACAACACAGAAAAACTTTTGATGGGAGATATATCAGCTTTTAGAGGGGTTAAATAGAGCATTTATGAGTAGTAAGCAACTCAATTTGGAAAATCAGGGAGAAATTCTTATGGAGGATATTTAGATCCACATTGAAATTGGGTTGTTTTATATCTGGACCAGGTCTGAATATTTAAAAGATAATAATTTACTGTCCAGACATAAATGCAGATATTTTATTGGATATTTTCCTATAAAATGGTCTGCATTGAGTAAACATGTCTACATTCATAGCTCTGGAAAACGTAAAAAGTAAAATCAGAGAACTGATCATTTGTAGTGGTCTCATCTATCTATCTATCTATCTATCTATCTATCTATCTATCTATAGATAGATATCTATCTATGTAGATAGACAGACAGACAGACAGACAGACAGACAGACAGACAGACAGACAGATAGATAGATAGATAGATAGATAGATAGATAGATAGATAGATAGATAGACAGACAGACAGACAGACAGACAGACAGATAGATAGATAGATAGATAGATAGATAGATAGATAGATAGATAGATAGATAGATAGATAGATAGATACATAGATAGACAGATAGATAGATAGATATGTCACTCTTAGGTTGGGAAAATGCAATAAATATTTTTATGTTTTCTACAAAATAAAAAGTTTTTGGTTATGATGATGAAATATGCCATTTATTAAGTACAAACTAATTTAAAAAGCAATTATTAGGTCAAAATGGTTTCTTTTGTCTATTGAGACACGTTCAATACTTAATTTAAAGCAAAATAAAATCAAATTTTTTAATAATTGTTTATCTTATCAGGTGAGTGTGTGTTAAATGGGCCAAGTGGTCTGAAAAAGTTTGAGAAACACTGAACTAGAGTTAATTTAGAAACTTCTGAAAAGCTCATTAAATCCCCTCACAGTCAAAAACAAACAGAAAGAAATGAAAAGACAAATAACCCACAAACTCACCAGAACTCCACGGGTTGAAGAGGACAGAGAAGTTTGCCAAAACCTTTTCCTTGTCCTTGAGGCTGGCAGACAGCGTGTATTCGCCGATGGGCGTGTCAGCTGGCGGTGAAACGATCAGAACCAGGACTCCGGTTTCAGGAGAAGAGCCCCGTTGAAGCTCTGCCTTCCACACCGCCTTGGCTGAAGCTGAATGCAGTGACCGGCCCGGGACGCCGAAGCGAGACTTCGTCCCCAGATCCTCTGATGGATCATTTCCTGCAAACAGACACAACTGAAGGAGTAAGGCAACAATCCTCTGGATACAAGTATCAATTCAGTTTTTTACAAAAAAATATATAAAACTTTAGAAAATAGAGATGAATTCATAGGCCCCATGCAAATAAAAATTGCTACTAAAGGCGCAGGATGTAACTTTAATGAAAAAAATATGTTTATTATATATTTGTTAAACTGCCTCCATGCTGTGACAGTTTGCTATGATGGGAAAGATAATGAAGTACACATTCCTGCAACATTAAAAAGCAATAGAAAGTTTTATATCTTTGGCATTCTCTCACATTTTGTCACAAACTTCAACATGTTTTATTGAAATTTTTTTTAGATAAACTAATATGGATAAATGAAAACACAAAGGCACTAACAGGCTTTTTATATATAAAACTAAAAGGTTTAACTGATGTTTGGATGGAACTGGAAGACATTTTAAATATCAAAAATAGATAAACAAAACAACAAATAAAATGAATTATGAAATCTCTTTAAACAAAACATCCAGTTTTTGGTAGAAAGAGAATAAAGGTAAATCATGCAAATGGGAATTATTGAGCTTCTTTTAATCTATCATGTGATTAATTGATTTATCACTTATTGCAACAGGCCTAGATAAAAACAATTAATTTAAAGGCACCAACCTGTCACCACAGTCATTATGAGCTGATCAAAGCCCAGGTTGAAAGGTTGAGTCAGTTTGAGGGTGAGTTTGAAGGCTTGGCCTCGTCTGACGATCAGCTCCTTCACGGAGATCTCACTGGTGTGATGCTCATAGTTGTTGGTGTCAGTGTGGAGGTCCACTAATCTAAAAACTACAAAAACAGGACAGGACAAACAAAAAATAAATAAGAATCATAACATTAATGAGAAAGAAACTAGATTTGAACATTCAGAGCAACATAGAGACAGTTACAAAGTCGGCCTTCTATCACATGAAGAACATTTAATGTCTCAGAGAAACTCATCCAGGCATTTCTCTTCAGCCACATTCTGATTAAAACCAGGAAGATAGAGCACATCACCTGTTCTACATCACTCAGTTCTACAGTCCTTCACTGAGAGAACAGACTTTAAAATACTGCTGGTAGTTTATAAATCACTGATGAGCTTAAAGATCTGCTGCTGCTGGATCAACCTTCCAGACCTCTTGGGTTCTGGTTCTGCTCTGCATCCAGAACTAAACCCAAACCTGGAGGAGGAGCATTCAGCAGTATATTAATCAAAAATAATTGCTTTTATAATACTTTGTGATTGTTTTGAACTTGCTTATATGGTTTAGTTTGTTTTACTTTTGTCGCAATGGGTTCCAGATTTCCCTCTTACATATCAGATCTGGATTTTTGTGAAGTTTCACCTGGTCAAATAAAGAAAAGACAGAAAGAAAACTTTCTATGCACCACAAATTTGGATCAAATTTCCAGAAAACTGCAAAACGGCTGAAATACTGAGTTCCTTTAAATCTACACCACACGTGTCAAACTCAAGGAAAGGCAAATTTGGCCCACCATAGCTTTTCATGTGCCCCTCAAGACTCTAAATTACATCAGCAAGTTCTTCCAGTTTGTCACAAATCTGCAAAATGCACACAAAATCAACAAATCTGTAATTTTTTTCTGATTTTACTGCACATTTTCTCAAAACTGGTCAAAAACATTGGGGTTAAGCGACTGCTGAATCAGCCTTACTTGATGTCAAGTTATACTCTGTAATCGATACAGCGAGAAATAAAAAATCTCATTTAACATCATACATGAGCACAAATATTGAATTCCTTACAAATATTTCAAAATTGGCGCCACAAAATGTATAATTTTGATTGCAAAATTTCAGTAAAGCAATCACAAAATCCTGGAGGAACAGCTACTTATTGATGTTTTAATAGTTTAATTGGTTTTATTAATGTATTCTGGCCCTATAAGATGATTCAGATTATTTTTAAAGCGTTATAATTTATGTTGTTCATGCTATTGAGTAATAAACGAGGTCAGAGTCCTTCTCGCGGCTCTGAGCCAGATTGTTCTGAAAACCAATCCTACCTATTCAGGTCAGCTGGATGCAGACGGGGCGTGGTGAGTGTTGAACTCTGTTCTGTCAAAAGTCTGCTGACATACATTGACAGCAGAAACTGGGTGTGTTGGTTGCTTAATTTACTCATCCCAGCCTGTGTGTGAACGGGGCATGCCAAAACAGGAGAGTACAATGAAACACACCCTTTCCTTAACCTCTGCAGCAACACCCTCAAGAGTTGTGCAAACACTGCAGAAATCCACAAACCTCATGCAAAGAAAGCTGGATAAAGAACTGCAAGTAAATAAATCCAACCACAAAAACTGATTGAGCAACATCTGAACATGGATTTTGCCCCAGAAAAGAACAACGAAGAGAAAGTTTGGGTTAAATGAATCAATAATTACCTGTCAATTATTGTGTGACTATGAATGAGTGTGTAACGAAAGTGAGCTACAGGTAAGCTTATCAAATTGTTGTATTTAGGTTGTGATTCCAGTCCTTCTAATTCATTTACTGTTTCTGGCTTTTTAAAAAAGAGCAACACCTACACAGGTAACCGATTCTCTGGAGAACTAAATGTTTTTATTTAGTTAGAAAATCCTGGCTAAAAACATCCAAAATCTGTTGCAGCTGCTGGATGTTGTGAAGCAGATTCCCTCATTAAACGCAGGTAAGAATCTCTTCAGAAGCATAAACCTCCAGGCGTGTGTTAACATGAAGCTCAAAGGAAATGTCAACAGCCACAAGCCGAGAAAAGAAACAGCATCTCTCTAATTACCTGGCACTGATTATTTTACAAGCAGTTTTAATAATGACAAGTTCACTGTGTGGTCAAGTTGTGTAAGAAAAAAAAAAATTCTTTGGAGATTTCAAGTCGACAGCAGGACAGGTATGAAAATATTTTAAAAAATTTCTCCAAAATCTGCCCATCTAAGCTGTCTGCCAGAACTTTTGGGGAAATATTCTCTTTTCCAGAACAGCCTGGATTAGAAATGTTGGACCTTAACAGTAAAATGTTTGGAGAAAATTAAACACAACTCACCAAACCATCAGGCGTTTTCTTATTTATCTGTAGGTTTGTGTTTGTATTTGTCCTGGTGTCATGTTTGTTTCTTTGGGTTATTTTCTATTTGTTTAAATTAGATTTCTGCTTCAGTTAGTCTTATTTAATTCTCATCCCTGGCCTCATTTGGTTTTCTTTTCACTTGTGTTGAACAGGGTCTGTTCACATGTGTCAAACCTAAGGCCCGGGGGCCAACCACGGCCCACCATAGCTTTCTGTGTGGCCCACAAGGCTCCAGATGCTAAATCATATCAAGCCATTTTCTGTGACTCTGTGATTGCGTAAATTTACGTAAAATCAACAGATTCCCACATTCCCGTAAGTTTATTGTACATTTTAACTCCCGCCTTATGGCAGTATCTTGTACTTTTACGACACTGATGCCTGAGCCTTACTTGATGTCAAGTTAATGTAATACATAAATGTAAATATTGTAAAATTCCTTAAAAATATTTATAAATTAGCGCCACAAAAGTAGTGATTTTATATGCAAAAAAAAAAAAGAGAAAATCACTAAGTCAATTGTGACATCCTGGAGGGATTGAATAATGTGAGAAGATGTTTAATTTTATGAAGTGCTTACAAAAAGCAGAGACAGATATTTATTAGTATTTTAACAGTTTGTTAATGGGTTTTATCAATACTTTAGAACATTCCTGATATTGATTTGGCCCAAAATGAAGATGAGTTTGAAACGGCTCTTCTGGATGTCTGGTTTTATTTCTCGTTTGCATTTATTCCTGTAGTCCATCCTGTTAACTCAGCTCATGTTTTTCACCTGGTGCCTGATTAGTTTCCGCCTCACCTATCTCACATTGCATTCAAGTTCAATGCTTTTGTCTGGTGCAGGATTTGTGTGTTTTTACATCTGTAGTTTGGTGAACTCATGTTCATGTCAAGTTTAAATAAATCTTCATGATGCCACATCGCCGTTCACATTTTGGCTTTTCCTTTCCTCGACCTTCACCAAACCAGACACTGAACACGGCAGTAGATTCACTGTTTGAACTGCTCAATAACTCTGGATAAAGTTATTTTTCTTTAATTGTAAATAAACACAGCTGAGAGATAGAGTAATGAAAATATTTATCCGTTTATAGATTAATAAAATTAGAGGCAGCTCCAGGTTATTTCATTAGCAGGTGAATCACTTGCTGGATTAATGTTTCATAATCTGTTTTTGTATTCTACAAATCAACACTGTATCAAACTCAAATTACAACATAAAAATGTTTTTTTGTTGGTTTTTTTTTGTAGAAGCCACTACGTTGCTGTTTTATGTTGACATAGTTGCCTGGAAAGTTTAATGTTACACTTCCAAGGTGTGTTCTGTTGTTCTTGGCGGCCGTACATGAGAGGCAGAAACACCTGTCTGCCTCAAAGCTTCTCTACATTCATCTGTAAAGCTCAAGCAATTAAAGACACACATTCAGAGTCACTCAAGTGGAAAAGGAACAAATAAATAACAAGTGTTCACAGTCAGACTCATCTCAGTCTGATACGCGCCCTGCTGAGCTGTAAACCTCTGCAGCTCAGAAATCATAATCATCTTCTCCGCTGCTCGGTCTGCTCTGCCATACTTCTGTTCTCATTCATTGATTTAGATGTTTTATAGCTTCTTCTACTTATAATTATCTATAATTTTAAAATGTAGTGCTTTTTTAGTTCAAGGATCCACATGGAATCCAGTGATTTAATGTAAAATCTGAAATATTTTGGATTTTTTTTAAAAGATGAAGTCTGTTTTTCTGCTAAGTTGCCCTGGGGGAAGTTTGTTTTTATTTATATTAATAAAGAAAGCTGGATGGATTTTGTAAACTTGGGTTATTATTATCATAAAAAAATTTTAAATAGCTAAATATCACAAAAAAGCAAAAATTGAGTTTTCTCATGAGCCAAAATCAATTTACAGAATATATAAGCAACAAAATAGAAGGTGTAGAAAAAAAACCAAGGATGGGAAACTGCATAGTCAGCTTTATTAAATCACCTATTTTGATGTAAAAAAAAAAAATAAAAAATATGCAAAAACATTTTTTTTTCTTTATAATTTCGCTAAGTTGAATTTCAGGAAGAGAATGGAGATAAATGTTGCTTATTATGTCTCCATAGGCTTGGATAGAATCGCACAAACTCTTTGAAAAGAAAAAAAGCTATTTTAAAAAGTGTAAAAAGTTCTGATTTATTCACCAGACTTGTCTTAGCAGCTGGGATATAACAAGGAGAGGATTTTGGTGTAGAAAAAGTTGGGAAAAAGAAAATATGGTATTCTTGTAAATGTTGCCATGCAACCAAGTCCGACACACTACAAACTGACCAAACTAAGCTTTAAGAAACCGAAATGGTCTTTTAATACTGTGAGGCCTCCCACATTAAAGCCTGAAGTCATGAAGCTCTTGAAGTGTCTTAATAACAGCCATTTTTCTTTTAAATCTTGATCCATTCAGTCTGGGTGCAGCTGCTCTTTATATTTTTAAGGATTATGTCCACCTGAGACAAGTTTAAGCATGTTCAATATTTATTGTGCTTTTCAAAAACAGCTTTGTACAGAGGAACTGCAACAAATGTCTCCAGAGTTTTAAAATCTCCAGTGAAAAGATTTACATGCCTTAAACTTAACTACATAGTTTTAGTCTGTGTTCCAAAACAAATAATGAAGTTTTCATACTGCACCTGAGCTGTAGTCAGTAGGCCAGTTGAGACTCATGGCTGCTCCTGTTGTGTTTGTCCTCCTGAGATGATGAGCTGAAAGCGGTCTGGTTGGCACCAAGCGTGTTCTGCCTGATAACTCTGCAGACGTTGCTTTTAAAGTCCTTGTCACGCCCAGCCACATGCCATTTCTTTGAGAAATAGATGGTGCAACCCAGTCATGCATTCCATGGAAATTATCCCTTTTTTCCAAATATAACAACTGCATTAAAGATTTGCTGCTACCCTAAGTTACCAAATATAATTTTTCTGGTCAACAACACGATTTTGCCCTTCACATGACTCTGACTGGTGTTGACACATTAAGCAATAACAGCAAATATTAAACAATGAGCTCTAAAGATTTATTACAGCGTTTGTTTTTTGTTTTTTTGTTTGCTGGGTAAAATTGGTTTCTTGGTTCTCACAGTCGGTCGGATAAAATCCTCAACTAGATGACAGCCAGGAAAACAAAGGATGCAAATAGAGATGTTCTTCCAAGTCTGTGGTATGTCAAACATCAAATTACTCAGAAATAAAACTGAAATGTTATTTCATGCATCGTCAAAGCTCATAAAGCTGCTAACATTTCATAATGTTTAATCTTTTCTCATTTTGCTATCTTAGAAAATGTAGTGAATTATATTGTGATGTTATGATTCTGCACAGTGAATTTAGGCTTCCACCATCTAACAGCCAAAAACTTGGATTAACAGATGGAATAAATACTCAGGTCATTATTCAGCTAAATTTAAAAAGTGCTTATCTAGAAGTCCTTCGGTGGTTTAGTTTGTTTTTTAACTGATTTTTTGGAAAGATGCTGGAGTTTTTTAGGAGTTTTGTTCTGTCTGCATAGAGTGATTAAACCCAATTAATCTCATTATAAATAGAACTACTCTGTGAAGATCAGCTCTATTTAAAATGAGATTTATGTAAAACCTTTTGTCACATTTACCTCTGCAAAGGCTCTGCTTTAACTAGTTACATTTACTCAATTACATATACTTGAGTAACTTTTTTAAAAAGTACTTTTAGGAGTATTTTTACTATGCTGTACTTTTTACTTTTACTCGGGTAATTTTATTATTAAGTATCTCTTCTCCTACTTGAGTATAATTTCTGGATTTTCTACTTACTGAATGAAAAACAAACATGAAACATGTTTTAACCAAAAATTCACCAGACACAGACACACCTGCAGTTTCTGTAACAGTTTCTTAAGTTTTTTATTGAAAGTAACTGGTTTGGGGGGAGGGAATAATTTTTTGTTACTTATATGGATTTTTGTCATTTTCGTCCATAAAATACCAACATTTCCACTTAACTTTATAAATTTTCTGTCTGATTATTCATTTTTTATTAAATAATTGTTAATTACTTCTTTCTTTTACTTGAAGTAGTGCTACTCTTACCTGAGTACGTACGAATGTTATGCGTCTAAACCAGAAGCTCTCCATTGAACAAAGTTTGTTATCTTATCTAACCTAACATCATGGCAGAAATGCATTTTCTCCGTCTGGTTTCTACATTCAGCCAGATAACGTGAGGAGCTCCATCATTCCAGAATAAAGTTAATCAGTTAGAAGTGCTTCAAACATCTTACTGGAACCTTTCCTGGAGATGTTTTGTTGGACGTAAAGGGGAAATGTGATGAGTGATGTGAGAAAATGTGTCAGTTCTCTTACAGTGAGTCAAACCCATTAGCCGAAGCCAGATTTTGTGAGAGCGCATTATTTTTCTCTAATTTCTGACAAGCAGTTGAGGGAGGCTGAAATTGGGTGGAGTCACATTTTTGAGAGTGTTTTCTTTTCTCTCAAAAATGTATTAGTCAAAAAGTGACTGTCATGATTAAAGCCCTTGGCGTGGACAAAGAGGGAAAGAAAGCCATCTTGAGAACAATCAAGACGTAAGTACTTACATTCCTATTCTGCCTAATTATAATCCATCCTATTTGTTTTCACAGTCTGTTGGTAGTGTGTGGCTACTAAGAGACTAAATATAAATCTGTTGCAATCTTAATTAATCCAAGAAAAATAATTACATTTATTGTGTAATTGTAGTTAATTTAAAATAATTGATGTTTCTTTTCAGTCCAATGATTCATTTTTCTGAAAATTAGAGCTGTTGTCCCAGAGATCAACAGGGAAGAAGTTATTTTTTCTTAAATTAAAATGTTTCACAGCATTAATTGTAGATGTAGATATTTGCTCATGCAGATGAGCATATAGTTGAGGAGAAGCGGAAAAGAAATGGGTGTGATTCCCCGTATACAAGCTGTGAAATAAGAAGCAGTTAAGTGGGAGTGGCTGAGGTGTGGCATTTCCCCCCAAACTTTCATTATTTCATCATATCACCTCCACATGAATATGTTCTCACACATGAAAAAGAACCGTGATCATACCAGGAAACGTCCCACAGAGGCAACTGAGGCAAACAAACAGACACACGTTTGCGTGACTATCTTTGCGGGGACTTTCCATCGACTTCCATTCATTTCTACAGCCTAAACCTAAATCTAACCCTACCCCTAACTAACCCTAACGCTAACCAAAACTCAATTGGTTAGTCCTAAATCTGACCCCTGACCCAAAAACAGTGTTTCCCCTTGTGGGGTACAGGCTTCAGTCCCACAAGTAACAGTGGGTCCCCACAACGTAGTATATGTCAGGAAGATGGTCCCCACAAAGTATTACAAACAAACAAACAAACACACACACACACACACACACACACATTAGTTTGTATTTCTGCCCATGTTAGGACTTTGAACGGTCGTCCATCCAAACCGTATATATTTTCCACAATCTTGCTGCCCTTTTATAGCAAATCAAGTATAACCTTCAATTATTATAAAAATGCTGTATACATCAAACATGACTTAAAAGAAATTTGACTTTGTGAATGCTAAGGCTAGTTAGTATAGCTACAGATGACGATGGATAAACAGTTATTTATTTCTCCACCATTAGCACATTTAGCAGCACATACACGAGCTGTGATAACAGCACTAAGACCCATGTCCTGGCTCTGATTGGTTGTTTTTGGTGGTTTTTGGTCGATGCATTTCTTCAGATGACAATATCAGCTGAGATCCTTTCATAGATCATCTGTCTCGTAACATACCGTCAGCACATGGTATCAATTTTAATAAATATTTTAAAAAACAATTTTTAAAAAATGTTAACCTTCATTATAATATTTTAGTGACATATGGTCGATTGAGACTCTTTCAGCGCTGAAAGTTGATAAAATAAGTAAAGTCTGAATGCTTTTCTTGGCTGATTTTATGCTCCGTGTGTCAATACAAATTATGATTCATCGATTGAGACTCTCATTCTCAACAGGTCTTTTGAAATAAAGGAATTATCTCCTCAGATTCTCATTAACTTCTGAAGGAGCTTCCTGATGATACATAAAATGAAATGATGCAAATCTGAGCAGGAAACAAATTAAAACAATCAAAACTTTTACCCTCAAGGACCAGAACTGGCCAGTTTTATAAGAGATTGTCATTGGTGTGATTTTAAGGCTTACAGATAGATTTGATAACGCCTGCTATTGTAAAGTAAAATTTTGGAGATGACTCAAGTTACCTGATTTTCACTCTGGAACAAATTACTTCCTCAACAGCATTTTGGAGAAGCAGAAGACAAAGGAAAGGTGGATGAAGATGATTCAGTTACAAAAGTGCATTGAATCCCGTCAGTGAGATAAACAACTACAATTAGAGCAGCACAACTTGTCACACTATTATTCCACCTCATTGTTTTCAGACCTCTTTCAAACACTTTTCACATTTCACACATTGTGAAACACTTTCACTGAGGAACAGTTTCAAAAACAAACTTCTTGACGCAAAAAATGTCAGGGAAGTCTTAAAAACAGAGTTTTCTCTTCAGTCATAGGTTCTTTTCAGCAAGT